CTTGCATCAGCAACAAACATTACTACCCGCTTAGCCGAGGGTTTCTTCATATACGATACCCAAGGCTACGTTCGGGCGTGCTCCCACAAGCCGCTAGTCTCAGGGCCTTACAATGCTTCTGGAATACCTGAAGGGATTTGACTAACCTAGGGAGTTGAACGACAGAAGTTATATTAAATCGCTGAGCGGCAACCAACAGCAGAAGACGAATTGTCGCTAAAAAGGCGTCAACGCGACTTCTTGATCGCCGCCACCAGACGGATGTGACTCTGCAACTCTCTCCACGGCACCACGAGATCACTGTGCTGCTTGATGCAAGTGCGAGAAGGCTCAAGTAGGTCCGAGGGTGTGCGTTTGTGTGTGTGTGTGTGTGTGTGCGTGTGTGCGTGTATGTCACATCCCGAGGTTCCAACACACACACACACACCCCCCTCCTCCCGACATCTGACGCTGATCTCTCTCATGTCGGTTTGCGCTTCGGGTGCCCGGGGCCTGGACGCACTAGAATAAAAAAGAAAGAAACAAAAACTGTCCAGCGCAACTTGCGCCATGTCTCGATCCGGGGCGCCGTGATTTGCACCGCTTACACGCTTTACAGGATTCACATGGCCGCCACACCAGCCACGGAAGAGAACCGAGGGATGCTTCCTACTCACTCGTACAAGAACCGAGGCCACTACTTTGCTCGGTTTTGTCTCGGTCGTAGCTGTTGCTGCTGGAGTATGCGCTCGTCGCCGTCGTCAGTGACGACGACCTCGTGAATCGTCTTCTTGCAACTTCACGTCCACCGTATCATCAGACCAAAGCCTCCCGGCCTCCCCCACCTTGTAAACGTGTGCCCCATGCATGGTTTCGTGGCCGGGGAATGGACCGATCAAGGGGCCAAACATTACGAATCGTCTTGCTGATGCCCATCTGTCTGAATCCCTGTGATGGCGGCCAACATATGCCGTACTATGTAGACCGTGCTGCTCATCGCCCAACACCGCATGCCGCGGGCTGCGGAGTGTCCCGAAACCACTTGATAGTCGTCGTGATGCCCACCCACGGACGGTCCACGCATGTCGTCGTCCAGACGAGAGGGACTCCGGACGACTCCGGACCGTTCATTCATGCGTCACAACCACCACCCCTCCCACCGTCGATCACGGTTCACGAACGCGACAAAGCGTGCCAAAACAGACCGAGAAAAGGCCAGGATCCGTAACCTTATCGAGTCATCCGAGTCCAACACCCCCGGCACACATTGGCGTAAAAACCCTATGGGGACATGCTTTCGGTGCCATTACGTTTCGTCCCCTCCATCCTTCGACACTGCAGGGACTTTGCTTTAGGTATGTGGTATTACCGTCGGCGAACACGACCTTTTTGACTTTGGGAACCATGACTTTGTGCTATGGACAAACAGTGCCCCCTTCCATTTCCTTCTAGCTGCCTGTCCCTCCCCCCTCCATGACATTCCCTCCGCCCTCTCCGCCTCGGCTCAAGATCCCGGAAAGGAACCGTGACGCATGAGGCACGTCTCGGCCTCCCCATCCAAGCAAAGGAGACCATCGCGAACTCTGTTCCCATCAGAATTCCCATGTTGCCCTCTCACACGGCCCCTCGCCCACGACGGTGTGCTCTGGAGCCGCGTTCCCTCCGAACGGCACCTGCACCAGCACCGTCGGCTCGTCGCCGGGGAACTCGGTGAAGTGCCCGGCGTGCACGCTCACGTTCTTCAGGTCGGCCGCGATGACGACCGACGACGACACCGTCCCGGGCTGGATGTACGCCACGGTCTGGCCCGGCGGGCTTGACGCGTCCGGCGACGGCGTGGCCTGTGACGAGTTCCTGGCCGCCGGCGACGTGATGCGGATGAGGCCGTTCACGATGACGCTAAGTCTTGCTCGACGTCAGCCTTCTCGTCAACCCCCCCCCGCCCGCTCGACAATCAACCCCGACCAGGGAGGACTCACTGCACGGCCGGCGCCCAGGCTTCCCCCACCGTCGTCCTGGGCTGGATGATGGACCACTCGGCGCGCGTCAGGTCGCCCCCGACGACGTAGTTGAGGGCCGCGCGCGACTCGTCCGGGACGGAGGTGAGCTGCCAGCATTCGATGACCGAGTAGCCGTCGCGGCTCGATAGCGCCGTGATGTTGAGGGCCGTGAACGCCGTCGCCTGCGCGATGGCCAGGCCCCGTAGCCCGATCGCCGAGAGGCGCATGTTTTCTATGGGGGTAGGGCTGTTGCGCGGGTCGTGGCCGCGAGTCTTTTTGCCTGGGTTTCCCGTGATGCTTTCGTGTAGAGCCAGTTGCAGTAGCAGCAGCGGCGGCAGTCAGAATAAGCAGGGCCGCGGGGAGGAGGATGGATATGAGCCTCGTTCCAAAGCGTGGGTGGCCGTGGTGTTTTCCGGACGTCCGGATGGCCCTGCAGACGCCTGGGTTGATCTCTCGTGACGTGGCCAAACGAAATCCGCAAGCCTATAGCCCTACCGTCATGCTGCTGCTTGGATTGCGGCATGCTTGCTTTTTCTTCTTCTCTCTTGTGAGAAAACACAGCATGCCGTAGTGTCTTGGCCTGAAGCCTGCGTCGCGCATACAGCTCAGCCGCTCCTCGCAAAGCCATGCAGTCCATCGTTGAGGATCCTTCTCGAGAGCTTTTCTTCTGGGGCCCTATCACGTATGCCGGATCAAACTGACACAAAAGCTCGTAAGGGCCCTGATGCGTGGTGGTTCCGGACGGAAAGTGATTAGACTTGACGCCACAGAAGACACACGGAGGCGGTGACGATGTAATTCGATTGTCATTATCATGATTCCCTATGGAAGAAAACAAAGAATAAAGCGTCCAAAAGAAACCCTCACCTCTGATGGCCGACACGCGCTGCATACCCCCGGCATCACCACTGTGTCTCCATCCACCGGGCCATCCTCTCAACAAGTCCGCTACCGACAACATCCCACCCGTCGCCGACGGCGGCGCTCTTCCGGCCCGTCCTCTCCGTCTCGAACACCAGGCCCTGGCGGCCGGGCCCGTCGTTGTCGTACTTGTCCTCGAAGAAGCCCAGCAGCTTGTACGTCGGGTTCCTCTCCGGGTCCGGGTCTGACGCCCGCAGGCGGCGCACCCACTCGCGCTGCGAGACGGTCTGGAACTCGAGGCCGGCGCCGCGGAGGGCGCCGAGGAGGTCAACGGTCCAGTGGAAGAGGCGCGGGTTCTGCACCTGGTAGACGAGGTCCAGGTCCGCGTCATCGTCGGGCGAGGACGGGGGCGCGCCGCGGGATGTGCACCGCGGCCTGGCGAGGTCGGCGAGCTCGAGGGCGGCGAGGGCCATCTTGTCGGCGGGCATCCATGAGGGGGTCTGCGGTTGTGTTGTCAACCGGGTGGAATTCAAGAAACGTAAAGAGGGGGGGCAAAGTGTCAAACTCGGGCTCACCTCGTCTAGGGCGGGCAGCGCCCTGATCACCTTGGCGCTGCGAATCATCAACGGGATCGCCTCCGTCTGGTTCCAGATGCCGCCGACCGAGTCGCCCACGATCTGTCCCAGCCTCAGCACCCTGGCCGTCATGCCCGTCTTGGCGGCGGCCGCCTTGACGATGTGCTCCGCGACGACCTTGGACCGCGCGTAGCCCATGTTCTGCGCGTGCGCCAGGTTCTCGACGTACGTCTCCGCGACGCGCGCGGGGACCGGCGTCCCCGCGGCGGCGGAGACGGAGGAGCAGAAGAACAGCCGCGCCGGGCGGACCGTCTCGGTGGCGAGGCAGAAGTCGAGGAGGTTGCGGACGCCGCGGATGTGCTGGGCCTCGAAGCTGGCGACGCCGAGGACGAAGTTGACGGCCCACGCAGAGTGGATGACGGTCGTCAGCGTCTTTCGGAGCGCGGCGACGGCGTCCGCGGCGACGCCGAGGTCCGGTAGGCTCAGGTTCGTGGGGAGGTACTTGACCTTGGCCTCGTGGCTGTCGGCGAGGGAGAGGCCCTTGGATGCGAGGGAGGCAGTCACGCGGCACTTTGCCTCCTCGGGGGACGAGGCGCGGACGAGGCAGTAGACGGCCTTGACGTAGGGTTGGCGGATGACCTGGTCGAGAAGATGTGCGCCGAGAGAACCGGTCGCCCCGGTCAGCATAACAGTCTCGCCCTCCGGTGTGACGGTGCCGGGGCTTCTCTCCTTGAACTCCGAGTACTTGGCAATGAGCCTCTTCATCACTTGGATTTCATCCTCGGCGTACACCGACTCCCCGGTGCGCAGAGAGTAGACGTGCTTGGACAGGGACAGGACATTGGGGTACTCGAAGACGACGTTCTGCGCGAGGGTCTTGCCGCCGAGGTCGAGACCGCGCTGGATATGGCCCCGGGCGGTGCTGGCTTGGAGGCTGTCGACGCCGGCCTCGAAGAAATCGGTATCCTTCTCGACCCTGGAGAAACCGAGCGTCGAGCGAAAGAGGTCAAGCAGGTGGTCCTCCAGCTGCGGAAGATCGAGCGTCAGCGCGCCGCCGGCTACACCGTCCGCGGGCGCCTCGAAGCGTCTGTAGACGTCCTCGATGAGGTCGCCAAACTGCCTGTAGAAGGCGGCGCGGATAACGGTGCCCTTGTCGGTGCGCGGATACTCCGTGCCGACGTCGACGACCTCAATCATCTCGCGGGGCACGCGGCCAAACGCCTCCGCCCTCGCGTTGGCCTCGTCGATCACGGGGCCCAGGGCCTCGAGTATTTCCTCCCTGGTGAGGTCCATTGCCTTCTCGCTAGGGACGATGACGAGCCCGGGAATGGATCTGCCGACGCCGAAGACGACGACCTCCCGCACCAGCTCGTGCTCGCGGATGTGGTTCTCGTACGGGACGGGGAGGACCTTCTCGCCGTTGACCAGCGTGACGCGGTCGTCGAGGCGGCCGAGGTACCTCCAGGCGTCGGGGATGACGGGGTGGGGAACAAAGGTGTCGCGGGTGCGGTACGAGTCGGGCGCCGGGTCATCCGAGTTGGACATGACCTTGGAGGGGAGCCCGTTCAGGACGGCGCACTCGTAGACGCCGTCGGCGATGGGCATCATGCGAAGCCAGGGCTTGGCAGAGGCCAACGGCCGCATGTAGTTCCAGTCCTTGTCGCCGGGGTCGCGGAACGAGGTCATGAGCTGACCCATCTCGGTGCTGCGTGGCAAGTCAACCATTGAAGAAAGGAAACAAAACTTGTCGACGTAATAGACATCCGGGGAGGTCTTCTTACGCTCCGTAATGGCCGACGAGGTAGACCCCCGCCTCAACAAGGCGGTTGCCCAGATGCTCCGGGCAACTGCTTCCGCCGTATAGCACAAGCTTGAGTCTCTGCAGCGCCGCGACGCCCCCCTCGGTCTCGGCGAGAAGCTTCAGCGCGTACGGCACGCAGTGCAGGCTGCCCGGCTCCGTCGCGGCCATGGCCTTGACCAGAGTGGTGCCGGACAGGGGCAGGTTGGCGTTGTAGATGGCGATCCTCTTGCCGGCGTAGATGGCGCGGAACAGGGTCGCGATGCCGTGGTTGTGGAAGAGGGGCAGGGTCAGAAAGGCCCGGTAGGGGATGCCGCTGGAGTAGTTTGAGATGCAGGCGGCGTGCGTCTGGAAGATGGGCTTGGGAAGCCCCGTCGAGCCCGACGAGTGCACGATGAACGAGATGCGCCGCCCGGCGTCTGGGTGCGAGAAGACGGGGAACCGGACGCCCGAGGGTGCGGCGAGGTCGTACTCGGCCTTGTTTAGGATGGCGAAGGTGGAAACGGCGGACAGCGCATTGACACGCGCCGCCATGTCGTTGTACCTCTCCGCGAGGACGATTCTATTGCAGCCGGTCTTGTTGAGGAGGTTGACGTAGTTATCATGACCAGCCCAGTGCTATCGTGGCGAATCATTCTTACGACCAAGTCAGGACCTCCTTGATGCCCTTGAGGCGGCCACTGCGAGAGGGCAAAGATTCGAGTATCGGGCGTTGAGTTGTCGGCATGAAAAAGCCGGGTTAATGAATGACAACATGATGCTGTTGGAAATGGGCCGAATTACATGCAACACGACAATGTAACAGAATGTTGAGAGGCAGAAAAATCCTAAGAAAACCAGATTAAACCCTATCGGCGCCGTGTGAGAACCATATACCCGCATGCAAGCGACTGTAACTGCGCGCTTAATCGCTGCCAACCAAGATATATGGAAACCTACAGATGGTCAAAACCGTAGAGAGCCATCATTAAGCAAAGACTCGAGCCCGCCAAAGCCCGAAGTAACCTAAACCAAGTTCAGCACGGCCATCCATCGGTAAGGCGGATGCGTCAGGACCACTCACCATGGAATCGAACTGGCCCCAACTCGTCATGTCCGCCAACGAGCTACTGGGGCTCGCGTCGAAGCCGACAAAGTCCTCGGCGCGGCCCACGCCAGAGAAGCCGAGGCTCGCCAGGTGGTGGTCCTTGACTTGGTCTTGAGTTTCCTCATTTTGCGCCCCCGTGTCGACGCGGAAGTGCGGCCCACGCTTGTGGCGGGAGCCACCGTCTGCGTGCTGCCGGGGCCTCTCCGTCTGCCTCAGCGCCTCGGTCCGCAGTTCTTCGAGGACGAGGCAGTACCTCGCCGCCAGGGTCGACTCGTTGTCGGCGAGGGTCGCCAGCTGCGTCTGGCAGCGCGACGCCGCGTCGAAGTAGGCCCGCCACGTCTCCGCCGGTGCTGCCCGTTGCTGGATGGTGTACACGTAGAGGACAACGACCGCCGAGAAGGCGAAGTAGGAAGTGAACTGGATTCGAAGAGTCAGGGTTCCGTTGGGCCTCCCCCCCCCCCCCCCCCCGCTAACAACGGTAGCCGGGAAAGATTTGCTTACCCAGAAGGCGCGGAAGAGCTGTCCCGCCTGGACGAGGTCGTTGACGGTCTCCACGATGTGCATGGCCGCGTCCAAGCAGGCCCGTACGCTGTCTTCGGTCTCGTCCTCATGCGTGACGCTGCGGCGCCGGCTTTTGCCGTTGCGTTGTAGCCGGGCAAAGTTGCTGAGGAGGAAAGGCCGATGCGTGAGGATCATGGCGTGCCAGTATGCCAGGTTCAGCACGTTGCGCTGTCGTTGGAAAATCGGAATGAGCAGGGAGGCGTTGACGCCGTCGTCCAGCAACTGCGATATGTCGGCTCTCCAGTGTCTAAGGCTTTGCGAATACTTGGCTGCCCGAGCACACCGGTGTGAAAAAGATGAGGGATGGATGGAGTAGAGATCCCGCAGGATCATACTGACTATCCGCGAGAGCCTTGATCGAGGGAGGGTTAGCGAGCCGCCTCTCTCTCGGGGACGGGGGGGACGTGGACAGATATCCTTACTTGACGTGAGCCACTGGAGCAAGCATGAGTGACTGGCCGCGACCCAGCCGAGGCGTGATGTGATGGGTATGGATGTCGGCATCTTCCGAGCACGAAGGAAGCTCCTGGTCGATGTCCTCGTCGTGGAACGTTCTCGGACGCCCGAGTGCCGCGCTGAGATAGTTATCCAAGCTGTAAGCGCACCAAAAGGTGCGGCGGCGGCACTCGAGCTCGATATGATGGTACCCCCCCGCGGGGTTCGCATGCCGGCTGCGGTTCAGCCCGATGGCGAGGGCGAGGTGGCCCGCGGTGCCGAACAAGCTCCAGCAGTGGTTGATGCGCGACTGCGACAGCAGCCAGAAACACTGGCACAGGCGGGCCTGCACGCTCGTCAGGCGCACCGCGCCTCTCTCCTTGGACAGCTGGTGATCCGCGGCCAAGAAGTAACGGGCGCTACCTCGGGTTCGTCAGTCAAGCGGGTAAGCGGGGGGGGGGGGGGGGGGGGGGGAGATGTGACGAAGCTCGCGATGCGCGGGTCCTCGGGTTGATTCTCTGCTCGGGGGACTTTACCTGGCTGCGTTCCCGTTCTCTCGGGACTGCGCCGTGTCCATGTACACCTGCGCCTGGGCGAATACCATGAACAGCAGGGCTCTGCGCGCCGGAGCGTCCTCCTGGCTCCTCATGGCGCCCGCCGTGCTGTAGAACTCGTCCAGCCAGCCTTGGACGGTGGGACGATGGAGGAAGCGGTGTGTCGGCACGGCGAAGTCGAAATATCTCTTCAGCAGGGCCGACGCCTCCTCCTTGGAGATCAGGACGCAGAAGGCGCCGCTCGGGTCAAAGTCCGGCAGCGGCGCGTCGCCGAATGTAAAGATGGAGGACGCCTGAGAGAAAGAGACGGTCTGATGGAGCCTCTTCTGGACCCTCAGCAGGAAAGACACGCCGGACGAAGGGCCGACGTAGTGGCCTTGGAGGTCGGTCTGGGTGGGTTCGGGAGACACCCGAGAAGGAGGTTCCGGGGTGCCGGGCCGGACGCCGCCAATGGTTAGACTGGTGCCGTTCATGTCCGTCTCGTCTTGACGGCGGGTATCGACGTGGCCGGAGACGCCGACGGCGATGGACTCGATGAACGAGTCATCGACAGCAGCAGCAGCAGCAGCACTGGGGTCCGGCACCGAGACGTCGAGGCCGTCGAGGTCCATTCGCGCCACATCCTCCCGAGTAGCCACGGGCGGCTGCCGACCGCGCGCATAAGAGGCGTTGTAAGTGCAGTGAGATTCGGTGCGGATGCACAGCTCGCAGGGCTGGATTCCCGTGCAGCGGATCTTGCGCTTCTTGCACCTGTCGCAGGCGCGAGTGACGCGGACGCGCTCCTTGTCGCGGTGCCTGCGGCGTCTCCCGCTCTTGGTGGGAGAAGCGGCGGTGGGTGGCAGCGTCAGCGGCGGAGACGCCAGTTGCTGCTGGCCCTGCTGCTGTCCTTGGCTGCCCTTTCTCTCGCCGCCGATGCCGATGCCGGTGCCGGTGCCGGTGCCGGTGCCGTTGCTCTCGGTCCCGTTGTTGCCGGTGTTGTTGCTGGCCGTTCTGCTGCCATCCGATGGTGTATCTCCATTATCGTTGACGCGGCTTCTGTTGCCGCCGGGGTGCTCGCTGTCGTGCGAGTGGGAACGGGAATGGCGGCGTACGCCGGGGTGATGATGGAGCCCGTCCACGGTGGCGCTGGCGTCTGCCGTCCCGCCGCTGTTGGCTCCGGTGCCGGTGCTGCCGCCCGAGTTGGTATTGTCAGTGTTCAGGCCCATTTGCCGTGTTCAGGGGTGCCGAGACCCTACTCCGTAGTGCAACGGCAGCGATTCGGCGGCCAGACTGCCCTGATCCTGCTGCTGGACACACACGGAAACATGGTCTAAGGGAAAAGAAGGGGTCTAGACGGAGGAGTGTGGAAGACGGATATCTTCTCCTCATTCTTGATTCTTTCGAGACTGGGGAGAACAATGCGGGGTACCCGGTCGAACATGCATCCCTGGAGCGCCCCGACTTGGCTTCATCAGTCTTGTGGAAGATGAGGAATGTGTCCTGCGGGGGAATGGCCCGATGCCGATTGGGATGACCTTGGATCATGTCGAATGGGCCGAGCCGGGGCCGCTCTTGTTGGGGGTTCTATTGTCAATATCCCACGCGGGCATCATAGGCCTCTGGGCATCGTCATGAGGACACGAGACAGGCAGGGCCGAAGCCGGGGCCGAACACGAGGAGCACAGAAATCACACTAGACTGAGGCGTTTCGATGAATGATAGCAGCCAACCTGCCAGGTTTCCAAGGCACATTGATGTGGCATGACGTCTGTACATGGCCTGCAGAGTGATGATATGATTACTGTCCAAGTTTTGGCATCCCATCTTATAAACTTAGTAACACACTACAGTACCGGTAGTTTCATTCCAGCCATCAGGGATCCTGTAAACGCCCCCCCCAAGCCGCCACACAGTTCGGGATGAGACGAGCTTATCATTATAAATCCCCTTCCAACAGCACCGGAAAACAGGCATCCGCTACACCGGGGCGAAGGGGAGTAGAACATCAGAACAACTCTACCTATTGCGTGACACATGTGTGAGAATAACGCCAAGGAATGGGATTGTTGCTCTTCTGGAATGTTCCTCAACCTGTATTTGACTTGACTTCATCCATACAGAGTCGAGACTAGAAGATTGCTACCGCATTCGGCGGGCTTGCAACGCCGCCTGGAACCTAAGCACAAAAAGCATCAGCAAAAGTCACCGTGCAAGGTCCAAAGAAGGGGAGACGCCTCCCTCTCTCACCTTGAGCGGCACGCTGCTCACGAAGAACGTCCACCTGCCCAGTTCCCGACACTTGGCACTCAGGGCCTCGAGGTCGAACATCTCGCCGATGGGCAGCCCCCAGCCTCCCAGGAGCCACTGGTGCAGCAGCCCGCCGCCTTGCATCTCGTCCTCCCACGCCTCGCCCTTCCACGCGCCGCCGACGGCCGTGTGCGGGCCCGCGATGGGCGCCCTCTCGAAGGACGGCGCGTCGCCCGCCACGGCCGCGAACCCCGTCTCCCAGATCCACCGGAGCACGTCCTTGGTCGGCTCGACGCCGATGAAGTCCGGGCTCGCCCGCGCCGCGACGGCCCTCTGCGCGGCGTCGTCCTTGGCGTTGTAGCCCGCCGTGAAGCCGGACCGGATGAGCAGGATGTCGCCGGGCCGGAAGACGACGCCCTGTTCGGCCGCCGTCTGCCGGAGGTGTCTCAGCGAGATGTCGCTGCTGGTGAAGGCGTCGAGGGGGATCGAGTTGCGGGCGCAGAAACCGGCGTAGTCGAGGAGGACGCCTCGCCCGACGATGCCGCCCTTCTCAACCCAGGCTGCGGCGGCGACACCGGGGGAGGTCAGAAACGAGAGACGGAGGAGGCGGTGATGTTATCGCGCCGGACTGACTCACCGTCGATGCCAATCTTGTCCGGGTTTTCCAGGTCGTCTTGCGTTGTGTTGTTATAGTACCGCTTAGCTTTCTGGTACCCTTGGGCCCGTGTCAGCTAAACAAACAAATAAACCAACCCAGATCACATCGGTGCTGCCGCATCAATGCTGCCGCTGGGAGAGTCGTCACGGTACCGTAGTGTCTGAATCCGTCCCATTGGCTGCTGCATTGTGTGTTGAAGTGCAGAATGTCATCGTTGACCGTCCTCTGCTCGCCGGCTGGGTGTGACCGGTTGACGAGCTTCGACTCGAACGGCGCCCGGCCGAAGCTCGGCTGAGACGGATTGTCCAGCGACCAGTCCAGTGACACGCGGTCACCAGTGCGTATTTCCGACGCTGCCGCCGCGGCCACGACAGCGGGGGTGAGAAGGTTCAGTGCCCCGAGTCGGTCGTCTTCGCCATAGAGGCCCCATGCGTTCCCGGGAGGCCCATCGGGGTCCAAGGGGAGCGATGAGAACGGCGGCCTGGGGGGGTCATTGGAAGATGACATGACTGGTGACGGAAAAGGAGGCTTTTACAGAAACAGAGGGGGGACCAGGCGATGAGTTGGTTGTGACAAAGGACGGGCACTAGAAAGGGGGATGAAGGGAGAGGTGAGGGTTTGGCAGGGCGGGCAATGAGCGGCCCGCACGCTCAACGCTTCCACTGTCATTCTGTCGGCATGACAACACTCGCCGGCTTCGGTTGCTTGAGGACCGCTTCAACGCGCCATCTAAGCCCGCAGAAACGTGGAGCAAGACGTTTTGGTGGGTGATGGCATGCAATGTTTTCCTCCCATGTCACAACATACTGAGCAGCGGTCATTCAGATGACGTGTGAGATATACCATGAAAACCCTCGGATTGCTAGAGCCCAATCTTGGTTTTATTTCTTCTTGTTTGTGTGCTAAAGTTGCCCTCAAGAGCCAGCCATGTAAGCTATGTAACCATGTGCGAGACATGCCTGTAGAACATGACTGATACTCTTGGGCCCAATTGCCTGGGCAGAGCCTACCACGAAACATAGGACGTCCCGGGCCGGGCCTGGTTACACTAGTCAGTAATGCCTTGATCACCTCGGCCCAGTGAGCATCACCTGGGATCACCTCAACCTCTGCCATCCCTCCAACGTGCTACACGCCAGTCTATTAACTCTCACCGGTACGGTTTGGAGTTTGCACTGTACGTCCACAACTTTATGCGACCTTCGTCATAGTTCAGTATCCAGTATCCGGGTGGACGCGCCGTGGACGAGGTGCGGGCAGATTCCCCTGTAAGTCCGGGTTCTGGCGACCCTCTTCATTCCCTCGATACCGGAATGCCTTGAGCTGTGGTTGCATACCTGTCCTTCTTTCAATGGAAAATTTGGATCCGGATCATTCCAGTCACCCAGGATGAGTTTGCGTCTTTACCCCCAGCTGCGTATTCGAGCGTGTATCTACGACTATTTACCTACTAAGCAAGCGGCGACATGCTCTACCACAAGCCCTTGGAAGACCAGGTAATATTTGAAAATCTACATTGGCAAAGCTCGCAAACTGCTGTTGCCAGCGAAAGATCGTTACAGTCCCTGCTCTTCAAGCTCCGCATGCATTGCACAATCAAAACGGCACACCGGACCCCATTATTGAGTCATGGCATTCGTGGCACTAAACTATCAACAGACAGATCTAGAGGGACGTCTCAATCTTGTCGATATCAGCCAAGAACAGCGAGTCCAGCGCCTTCCACGTGCCCTCGGGCAGGCGTCCCTTGAGCGGCAGCCGACCGCCCTCGAGGGCGCCGAAGCCGGCCTTCTGGATGATGCCCTCGCGGATGCCGATGACGCCCGTCTTGCCGATGAACTCCTCGGCGCGGCTGACGGCGTACTGCAGGCGCTGGACCTCGTCGAGGGTGCCCTGCTCGACGGGGCGCTTCTCGGCCAGGTCGAAGAGGCGCGAGACCGTCTTGGGGTAGAAGGCGGCGAGGGCGTCGATGACGCCGGCCGCGCCGAAGAGCACGATGGGCCCGAGCTGCTGGCCGAAGCCGCTGTAGACGCGGAACTTGGCGTGGTCGATGCGCGGGTCCGACGATACTTGGACGTGGAGGGAGACGTTCCCGTGGGACCTGGGATTGTGTCAGTACCATGGAAGGGAAGCCCTGGCTTTAGGAGCACAAGACTAGAAATCTCAAATCTGCGACGTCTTACATCTTGCAACCGACGATGTTGGGGTGCTGGGCGAGGTCCTTGTACGTGTCTGCTTCCACAAGAACATTGTTCGTAACCCCGGGGTAGTTGTATCTGTTTTCCGTCAGCCAAACCATCGCTTGCCCCGATATCAACAATTTCCTTCTGTCTCTTCTTTACTCACACAAGCACGGGAAGGGGGCTCTTATCGGCGACGACAGTGTACCATTCCTTGATGTTCTCCTGGCTCGCAGCCGCGCCAAAGTACCCGGGCACGAGAACCAGACCCCACTGGGCGCCGGCCTTTGCGTAATCCTCGAGCCACTCGAGCGTCTCGTCGATGCCGTTCGTCAGCACGCCGGCCATGATGGGGTAGTCGGGGAAGCCGGCGTCCTCGAGGCCCTTCTTGACGCCCGCGACGAGGTCGTGGCGCTCGGCCTTGTTCAGGTGGATGGCCTCGCCGGTCGAGCCGAGGAGGACCAGGCCGCGGATGCCGTTCTGGGCGAGGTACACGCTGTGCTTGATCTGCGTGTCGATGTCGAGCTTGGGCTGGAGGGACCCCGCCGAAGCAGAGGCGGGGTGGAAGAAGGTTGGGACCGGGACGAAGACGCCCGTGGGCGGTACTCTAACGTCTGCCATTGCGAGTTGTGTGAGTGTGTGCGTGTGTGAGAATGATGAAACAGGAAGACGAGAAGACCGAAAAAACAAAAAAAAGAGGGTTTCTCGTTCAAAGAGAGGGGTTTTGGACGAGATTGGCGCGCTGGGTAACAGTCTTCTCTCCGTGTTCTCTTCCTGGTGCGCCCCCTTTGTTTTTTTTTTGCTTGATACCCCTCAACCCTTTCTACTTTCGCGATGGAAGACGTGTCAGACCCGGTCTCGGTGTATCTCCCTCGGCAAATGACGCGAGGGACTGGCTCGGTGCTTCATCGATGGCGTCCTCGGGGTGTGATAACGCGGGGTTGGTGGAGTCGCAGAGCAACGCGCGGGGAACATGCCGGCGCTATCCCGAACATCGGCCATGAGCGGAAAAGAAGGTTTACATAATTTGCTAATCCGTGCAACGGGAACCCTTTACCGTTGCGGCCCCCTCATCGTGCGAGGCGGAAACACCTGCAGGGGAGGGCGAAACTCGAGTGTGGCGACGGCCTCATTCGGGGGGGGGGGGATATAAGAGTCCTGTGCAGTGGTTTCCATGTTGAGAACCGGTAGGATATTATGAGATGCATTACACGCGGATAACGGTTTCTCAATTTGACCTTTTCCTGAACTGAACGCTTTGGAACCCATCTCGAGACTCACCAGAACACACGCTATACACCACTACGTCCACGGTCCACATCATGGCCCTGGCTAAATCTTTCAAGCTCCTCTCGGGATACGAGATTCCCGCAGTTGGTCTGGGTACTTGGGTGAGCAATGAAAGGTCAATGGGGGGAGAGGTGATGCAGCCCTAATGCTTTCCCATTCGTGTAGCAATCCAAGCCCAATGAGGTCAAAAACGCTGTCGAGCATGCTTTGAAGTCGGGATACCGCCACATTGACGCCGCGGCCATCTATGACAATGAGAAGGAGGTCGGCGAGGGCGTCAAGGCCTCTGGCGTCCCGAGAAAGGACATTTTTGTAGGTGCCGATAATATAGGTCGTCGGTAGGAACCCCAAACGAGCTGACTCTCACTATCGCTCTCAGATCACCAGCAAGCTCTGGAACACTCATCACAAGTCCGAGGACGTCGAGGTCGCGTTGGATATCACTCTCAAGGACTTGCAGACGGACTACGTCGACCTATACCTGGTGAGACTTTCGCCTCCGCACTCGCGTACCCTCCTCCACCACCACCACCACCATCACCACATCTGCTCAGGCCCAGCTAACGCAAGAATGCCGGGCACCAGATCCACTGGCCCGTGTCGTTCAACAAAAAGGACGATACCACGCGCTTCCCCCTCCACCCCGAGACGGAGGCCGTCGATGTCATCGATGTCCCCATCGCCGAGACGTGGAAGGCCATGGAGGCGCTCGTCAAGAAGGGCAAGATCCGCACCATCGGCGTCTCCAACTTCACCCGCCAGAAGATCGAGGACCTGTGGAAGACGGCCGAGATCAGGCCGGCGGTGAACCAGATCGAGGCACACCCGTACCTGCAGCAGCCCGACCTGTTGGCCTGGTCCAAGGAGCAGGTGAGTGTTCTCCCTCCCAGAGATGGAGAGAGAGAGAGAGAGAGAGAAAACGCCCCGGGCTGCATTCCACGGCCTGGCTAATATGTGTAAATGCAGGGCATCGTGGTTGAGGCGTACAGCCCCCTTGCGAATAACATTTACAACCTTCCTCGGTAAGCTCGCCCTGTCTGGAATCCAGACGGCATCCGCCATCTTTCCGTCATGTTAACCGTGAGCCAGTGCCGTTGACGACCCAACAATCGCCGAGCTCGCAAAGTCTCTGGGCAAGGAGCCGGCTCAGGTTCTCATCAGCTGGTCCATTCAGAGGGGCACCGTCGTGCTCCCCAAGTCCGTGTCCCCTTCCCGAATCGACAAGAACATTGAGGGTACGAGCTCCATCCATGGCCCGGGGTGCTAGTTCTACGAAATGCACAAGACACTGACACGTTGCAGTCTTTGAGCTCCCCGAGGACGTCTTCGAGAAGATCAACGCTCTGGACAGGAACCACCGATACAACTTCCCGGCCCGCCTCGGCGTGGACATCTTTGACGAGTCGGACCCGGAGATGCTGAAGAAGGCGAAAGAAACGTGGGTCGCAGAGCAGAAGAAGACCAGGGCGGGCCAAGCATAGACTCGGGAGTTGCTACAAAGTACAATGCGGGCATGCAACATACATAGTTGGCCCTTGATAGAATCGGGAATAGACATAGCACTTGATGGACAACTGGCGAGACCAGCGAAAGCCACATAGCCGACGAATCTCGTGGGGGGGCCTCTTTTTCCGTGCATGCTTTTCCTCACCGGACGGAAAACCACGCACCGAGACCCCTCCCCAACGCATCGTCACACCTGCATTAGTGCTCCTTGGATGGGCTCGGGTGAGGGCTTACCGAACCCCGCACCCGTCTCGTTCCATCTTCTCCACGTCCCTTCGAGGCGGGCTAAGGCCATCATGCGCCCTGTTCGTTCTCCGAAGTGGGAGCTGTTGCGGACTCGGAACGGGAGGGGGGAGGGGAGACGGCTCGCCGAGGTCCCGGGCTTCATGCCGACTTTCCCGTCCTTCACCTCCGTCGAGCTCCGCTTTGGCATGATTATATCAGCTCACGATTGCTTCATATCATTCCTTTGTGAAGAATTCCCCCTTCATACGCCCCAGTCTGCTGCTACCGCCGCCGTCCGCCGCCTTTTTCTGATCGCTAAAGAAAATAAAAAAATAAAAGCCCCAAAAGTTGATAACCTCCCCACCATGGGTAAAATCGCACAGATGGAATACTTCCGGGTACCACCCAGGTGGTTATTCGTCAAGATCACCGACGATGCCGGAAACGTCGGCTGGGGCGAGGCTTCTCTGGAGGGCCACACCCAGGCTGTCGAGGGATGCCTCGACGCGTGGTTTGAGAGATACCTGGGCATGGAGGCTGAGTGTGTTGACGCCCGCTCTTAGTCTTCTTCCTCTGGGGAGCTTAATTCCGATGCTGACTCGAAATCAGTGATATCGAGCACATCTGGCAGATGTCGTGGCGGACAACCTTTTACCGGGGCGGCCCCGTCTTCATGAGCGCGCTGGCAGGTATCGACATTGCTCTGTGGGATCTGAAAGGTGAGTACGGATACGCATCGCACAATGCACAACACAAGTCGTGGCTGACGACGAGAAGCGAGAAAACTTGGTCTTCCCGTCTGGCAGCTGCTGGGCGGAAAGGTCAGGGACAGGCTCAAGGTATATGCATGGATCGGCGGCGACAGGCCGAACGATGTTGAAAAGCAAGCGTGAGTGTCCAAGTCTCCAGTCTCCCTCCCCATCGGTTGCATCTCACTCACCACATCTCCTATACCTCTCTAGACTCGCTCGGAAACAGCAGGGATTCAACTGCGTCAAGATGAACGGCACCGAGGACCTCGGCTGGCTCGACTCTCCCGCCGCCCTCGACGCCGCCGTCGAGCGCGTCAAAGCCGTCAAGGCGCTCGGCATGGACGCCGGCGTCGACTTCCACGGCCGCGTCCACAAGCCCATGGCCAAGCAGCTCGCCAAGGCCCTCGAGCCCCATCGCCCGCTCTTCATCGAGGAGCCCCTCCTGTCCGAACACCTGGCCGGCATCCAGGAGATCAGCCGGCTGACGTCGATCCCCATCGCCCTCGGCGAGCGCCTCCACAGCCGCTGGGACGTGAAGCCGTTCCTCGAGGCCGGCTGCATCGACATACTGCAGCCCGACATCTCGCACGTCGGCGGCATCTCCGAGATGCGCCGCATCGCCGCCATGGCCGAGGCCTACGACGTCGCCCTGGCGCCCCATTGTCCGCTGGGCCCCATTGCCCTGGCCGCGAACGCGCAGGTTGATTTCGCGTCGCCGAATTTCGTCATCCAGGAGATGAGCCTGGGCATTCACTACAACAGCACCGGCCAGGACCTGACGAGTTACACCCACAACCCCGAGGTGTGGAAGGTGACGGACGGGTATATCAATCTGCTCACTGGACCCGGGCTGGGCATCGAGATCGACGAGGCCCAGGTGCGCGAGCTGTCCAAGGATGCGAAGGCTTGGGTGAGCCCTGGGTTCATTGGGCCGGGCGGTGAGATTAGAGAGTGGTAAAGCATCGAGTGAGAAACCAGTGCCCTGCTGTCCATTGTCTTGAATGGATATCCATGCTTTGATTTATCAATTCGATGCCTGTTTGGTTCAAGTTAGCATAAAAAATATCATACTAATAGACTAACAAGACAGCACATAAATTGTGTTACGTAAAAACGATACCGTTAGTTACATAGGCAGACTAACACTTATATCTTGTGATACACCCCCCAGATTTGACCTAGAAAGTCGTATCTGGCACACTTTTGTAGAAAAACCTAGTTGGGTACATCTCGCCAATCATAGGTGGTGTAGATCCTCAGACATTTGTAGGACTTCTAACCAGGGGACCCTTATGGGAATCAAACCTATAGTTATGAGTTTGAAGCTGTCACTGCACTTAAATTAACACTGTTAACTATTATAGCGACTAGTAGGGAGAGCTAGGCTTATGACTGTCACATAGAAACGATACCGTTAGTTACGTGGGCAGTAACTAACACTTATGTCTCGTGACAAATTGTTAGGTCTCAGGGAGCCTAATCATTCATGCCTCACTGCCCAGCCTCCGTCCTTGGGAGAGCCTGGTACATCACCCTCGGAGCCTCCCACACTTTCTCTGCAGTCTTAACGCGACTTCGGGCTTGACCGCCTGGGTGTCCGGGAGGATGCCTTGCATCATGACCAGCCTGCGGGGATCCCCCGTTGAGCTCGGGATTCTCCCACCTTGTGTTGTTCAAACCATCATAAATGGCGTAAAGGCCGTCGATCTGGGGCGGCGGTGCCAAGTTCGCGGCTAATGACGTCCAGAGCCGAGCTTCTCTTTAAGCAAGGTCTTATAGTCAGCCCTGCTATCTCAGAGACTTCGTTACAGTACACTTGCTCGTTAGTTGCCAGTAAGTCGTCGTGCCTGGCCCACCTCGAGAGTGTATTGAAGAGTAAGACGGTCAAAATGCATCGCGAGTTTAGTCGGTGTATGCGAAGGTGTATGCGCCACCTAATCACAGCATAATCCATATCAATTTGCCGGCATAACCTCTCGTTGCACTCGCCATTATCGCATTTATCTCAACCACATTCTTCAACCTTACAATTCTCTGGCGGACATGGGAGGGTACACAGAGGATTGTAAAGTTGCGATTTTGCCGTGCCTTCATGCTAGTTCAGATTCTATAATCACTTTAGGCGCAGTTGCCGCATCGAACGCAATACAGATGATGTTCTTTTGGAAGGAATAAACCTGTCGCATAATGAAGAATCACCAACCACTTGAGTCACGCTAGAGCCAAACGAATTCAATCCCCAAGTTCCAACAATCCGCAACGTTGGGATTAGCTCTAACGCCGGGGCTCTTCAAAGTTTCGATAATATACCTCGGCCCATGTTTGCCAGACCGGCAACTCTGTCTTCAAAGCCATACTGCATATTAACGAAACCCCTGCGACGGTGCTTGATACAACTGTAGTAGTGGAACGGAAGACCCTGGATGATGTCAGGGCCGGCAAAGCCAAGCCCTTCGCTCTGGGCACGCCAAGCCGCCAAAGAGCCGAGCAGCCGACGGTATAACTGGGCCGTGTTGGTCACGAGAATCCGGTTTGAAGCTTCCCGCATGGATACGGACTGGGCAGAGGCTCCTCGCAAGTGGATATCCACATATTTCGAGAAGACGCAGCCACGCCGATACCGAAAGTACGGCTTCAAAGGGGCCCGGGTGGCCACGGTGGCCGGCCGAGGGGTGGCCGTCAACACGGATCTAAGCCCCCTTTTTCGCCCGGCTCTTTTCTTGAGAGACAATAAACCCGGACTGGCCGAGGGCCATGTGCCATCTGAATACCCAGTCTTGCAGAGCCTTCTTGAACCTTGGCGTGCCCAAGGATCTGACCATCTCCACACAACCCCAGACCGTAAGGCTTGGGCCATGAGTCTAGTCTCACAACCGTCCACTATCGGGCCAGTCACATCCCTAAAGCGTGCCGAGTTGCCTTGGACTTCTCTCGGCACCGCAGCGTGATTCGCCAAGATACAATGACGCGGCCTTCGCATATGTTCCAAACGGTCGACGCCGGATTGCCAGTGAGACGAGAACGATGCCATATTACCAACCGGCACCCCATTGCCGTCAATGAGGTTGCCGCGCAGCTTGTCTCCGGTTTATTCTATTGTTTAATTTTTTTAATTTTCATAATTCCCCTCATCGGAACTTGCCAAGTGTAACGTAGCGCCACCGCTTTTGTTGTTATACTACACCGCCTGTTCGACCTCGGAGGTCGCAAAAGGACCAGACCATGGCTGACGAGATCAGCTCCGCGCCGCGCCATCCCGACACAGGCCAGACCGAGCCCAACGACCCGTTCGGAAAACAGTTTGCCGAGAAACTAGAAAGTAGGGAAGACGAATTCGACCTCCGCGATGACAGTGTCGTTGAAAACAACACGTTTGCGTTCACGCCTACGCAACTCCACAAACTCGTCACCGCGCGCAGCTTATCCGCACTTCGACGGTTCGGCGGCCTCTACGGTCTCGCGGCGGGACTGCGGACAGACCTTGCCGCCGGCCTTAGCGTCGACGAGACAAGCCTTGATGGCACAATCTCCTTCCAAGAGGCCGTGGCTGCCGGAGAGGCCGGCCGTTCCGCCGAGATCGCGCCTCTCCCCCCTTCCTCGCACCATCACGACCACGGCTTCAAGCTCAACTTGGACCTTGTCCAACACGAAAAGCAAGGCTTCGCCGACCGGAGACGTATATATGGCGAGAACAGACTGCCCAAGCGAAAGCAAAAGTCCTTCTTGAGACTGGCGTGGATCGCCTTCAACGATAAGCTCATGTTCCTCCTCACCATCTCTGCCACGATTTCGCTAGCCCTTGGTATCTACGAGACGATAGACGCGTCCGACGACGAGCCCAACATCCAGTGGGTCGACGGCGTGACCGTCGTCGTCGCCATCCTCGTCATCGTCTTCGCCAGCGCCGCCACGGACTGGCAGAAGAACGCCAGGTTTGCGAAGCTCATCGAGAGGAAGGAACAGCGCGACGTCAAGGTCATCCGGTCGGGGAAGACGCAAAACATCTCCGTGTACGACGTGCAGGTAGGGGACATGATGCATATCGAGACCGGCGACGTCGTCGCTGTAGACGGGGTCCTGGTCCAAGGGTCGGGTATCCAAGTCGACGAGTCGTCTCTCTCCGGCGAGTCTGAGCTTGTACACAAGAGCGTGCCGAGCGATAGTGATATGCGTAGCCAAAAGGTCCACAGGTCTTCCGCGACTGATCCTTTCATCCTCAGCGGCACCACCGTTTCCGGCGGCGTCGGCGCATACCTGGTGACTTCCGTGGGCAGAAACTCAATCTATGGCAGGACCTTGATGTCGCTGAGGGAGGATGTTGAAGAGACTCCGCTCCAGCAGAAGCTGGGGAAGCTCGCCAAGCAGCTCATCACCTTCGGTGCCATTGCCGGTATCATCTTCTTCCTCATCCTGTTTATCCGTTTCCTGGTCGGACTACGGACGATGCAAGCCACACCGTCTGAGAAGGCCGAGACCTTCTTCAAGTTGCTCATCCTGGCCGTCACCGTCGTCGTCATCACTGTGCCTGAAGGCCTAGCCCTTGCGGTAACTCTGGCCCTGGCCTTCGCAACAACGCGAATGTTGAAGGACAAGAACCTCGTTCGCCTGATCCGTTCCTGTGAGATCATGGGTAATGCCACGTGCATATGCTCCGACAAGACGGGGACTTTGACGCAGAATAACATGACGGTAGTTACAGGTAGAATCGGCCTGTCCGAGAGATTCGGCGACGCGCCCGAGAAGGCCACGGTGACCGATGACATCAAGAAAGAGCTCGCCAGCGACGACGCCGTAGGTCAAAGCACCCCGAAGGTGTTACTGGAGTCGCTGAGCGGCGAGGTGAGGCACTTGATGAAGAACAGCATCGCCCTGAACTCGACATCGTTCGAAAGCGACGACCCAAAGGAGCCCGGCTTTGTAGGAGCCAGCACCGAGACGGCGTTGCTCAGATTCGGTCGCGAATTTCTGTCCATGGGTCTCCTGAACGAAGAAAGGGCCAACAACGAAATTGTTGACATGTTCCCCTTCGACGCCTCTCGCAAGTGGATGGCCGTCATGTCCAAGCTACCCAACGGTAGTTTCCGCCTCTTGGTCAAGGGCGCCGCCGAGGTTGTGTATGAACAGTGTACGAACATTCTCAACGAACCAAAGATTGGGCTCTCGGTTCAACCCGCGACGGACGCCGTTCACGACGACGTCCGATTGACGATCCGCGAATATGCCAAGCAGATGCTGCGACCGATCGCCATGGCATACAAGGACATTGACCCTCGCGACGCTTTCGAGAGGGCGGACGACCCGGACTCGATCAAGTTTGAAAAACACTTCTGCGACTTGACATTCATCGGCGTGTTTGGCATTCGCGACCCCCTCCGGCCCGAGGTCCTCGATTCTGTGCGCCAATGCCAGGACGCCGGCGTGTTCGTGCGGATGGTGACGGGCGATAACTTCCTGACTGCGAAGGCCATCGCGTCCGAGTGCGGCATCTACTCTCCCGGGGGATTGGCGATGGACGGGCCGACCTTTCGGAAACTTACACCTGCGCAGCTGGACCTCGTCGTCCCTCGGCTCCAGGTGTTGGCGAGATCTAGCCCGGAGGACAAGCTTCTTCTCGTCTCGCACCTCAAGGGCATGGGAGAGACCGTTGCCGTCACCGGCGACGGCACCAACGACGCGCTAGCCCTCAAAGCTGCCGATGTGGGATTCGCCATGGGTATCCAAGGCACAGAAGTTGCCAAAGAAGCTGCCTCCATCATCTTGCTTGATGACAACTTTGCATCCATTGTAAAAGCTCTTGTATGGGGTCGAACGGTCAATACCGCTGTCAAGAAGTTTCTTCAGGTTGGTTCTCACGGTACTCTCCGTGTTCTGGTGATTTATACTGACAGGAGACCAGTTCCAATTCACCATCAACATCACCGCCGGCACACTGACTGTCGTATCGGAGTTGGCGGGCGATTCTATCTTCACAGTCGTGCAACTTCTCTGGATAAATCTCATCATGGACATTTTCGCCTCGCTCGGCTTGGCAACCGACTACCCGTCGCCGGATTTCCTCAAGAGGAGGCCCGAGCCGCGAAACGCGCCCATCGTCAACATCACAATGTGGAAGATGATTCTCTGTCAAGCCATCTACCAGCTCGCCGTCATGTTCACCCTCCATTACGCCGGTGACGGCCTGTTCAGGCCCGCCACGGACGCGGATCGCGCGGCCCTGCAGACCATGGTGTTCAACACATACGTCTGGATGCAGTTCTTCAACCAGCACAACTGCCGACGCGTCGACAACCGGCTCAACATCTGGTACCAGGGCGTCCTGCGCAACCCGTGGTTCCTCGGCGTGCAGTGCACGACCGTGGCCGGACAGATGGTCATCATCTGGAAGGGCGGCCAGGCGTTCGATACCCGGCCTCTGAGCGGACCGCAATGGGGATGGTCGATGCTTTTCGGCGTGCTGGTGATCCCCCTCGGTGCTCTGATCCGACAAGTGCCGGACACGTTCGTCTACGCTTTCTTCCAAGCTGTCAAGAAGGCGTTCGTTGCCACCCTGCATCTGCTATCTAAGCCCCTCCCGGCAAAATGGCGGAGGAAGGCCGAGGAGGAAGTGGAAGACATGGGCGCCGCAGAGAGCTGGGTCCTACAGACAGGCGCAACGCTGTTGACGCCGATAAACTACCAATGGGGCAGCTCAGCGCCGCCTCCCGGCTCCAAACTCGCCGGCAGGATCTCCAGTATCCCGGCGGCGCAGAGAGAGGCGCTGATCCGCGCTGCCCGGGCCGGCACCGGGGACAACGAGATCGACGTGCCCGCGATGATCGAGGCTGCGCGGTACGTCAAGGTGGAGCTGTCGTATGGTATCGAGGTCCATCCCGACACTTCAAAGGAGGATCCGATCCTGCTTACTTCAATCGGTGTTGATGGGGAGAAATGCCCGCCGAGCCAGGACCCGGAGATTTTGCGTTATTTACAACGGCCATCATAAAGCACAGGCTGGCTCTTTTGTTTGCGTTACACAACAGGAACATAGATGTTTTCTTGCTTCGATGGTGCGTATAATCCGTTTGTATCAGTCAATGTTTTCAAGATACCTAGTCCAGATACCTAGATATATGCATGTACGTTCACGAGGTCATGTAATAAGATACCTTGAATGAGTTTGATTTGTTCCGGTCTTGACAGCCGCCTGCCACGGCCTGTCCGTCCCGGTTCCCTGAATAAGACTCGTCTAACAATATAAACAAACTCGCTAGTCATATGCCGGGTGACCTCGGCGATATGTCAGGACTATTCGACCCGGCTGATTGGCCGGTCAGCGAAGCCGATGTTACCACGCTATTCCTGTATCGCTTCGGTCACGGAACGCGCTTGGCCGGTGACTTCTGCCGGTTATATTAATCATCTAAATTGCCAAGGCCCCTCTTCTTGCTGCTTTGTGCCACCCGGCCGCCTCCTCGCTGCCCTCGTGCGCCTGTGCATCCAGCTACAGATCACTTTGTGTGGGTTCCAGATACTGGGATTTTGGATGGGTAGAGGTGCCGAGACGGCGAGACGGGGCTGACCATCCGCCGCAGCCACACGCTGTAAGATGAAAGGTCCGAAATCGTTACTGGGCATGTTCCCGATTTCGGAAGCTGGTCTCCTGCCTGAACGAGTTCTTGGGTCTCGTTCCGAGTGAAACTATTGCGGCTGTGCGGATAAGGACGAGAGTAGTTCAAGTCGTTGTGACCTGTTGAGTCGTTGTGACCTGTTGAGCCGTTGTAAGGGTGTATAAATAAGAGCCGGACTGTTCAGAGACTTTTTTGCTCGTTTTGTTTCCTGGACTGTGCCCCTTAGACCACCAAGGACCATTCACAAGCAGCTCGAACATTCAGGCCCATCCTGGTCTGCAAATCATGAAGTCCATCATTTTTGCCGTCTTGACGGCCCTCGCCGCTCAAGAAGCTGCTGCCCATGCAACGTTCCAGCAACTTTGGGTCGACGGAGTTGATCTGATAAGTGCCCCATCTCTCTTCTTCAGCCTCGATACTGTTGTGCTAACTTCTCGCCACGGATCGCAGTGTGCTAGACTGCCCCTGAGCAACTCCCCCGTCACCAATGTCGCCAGCAACGACGTCCGGTGCAACGCTGGCGGGACTACCGCTGCGAAGGGGAAGTGTGCTGTCAAGGCCGGCGGCACTGTCACCGTCGAGATGCACCAGGTACGTTCCCAGTTCCCCGGCTTCAGTCTCGTCTGTATGATGATGGCTAACATGGTACCCTCATAGCAAAACGGCGACCGGAGCTGCCAGACCGAAGCCATCGGCGGCGCACACTACGGCCCCGTCATAGTATACCTCAGCAAGGTCAACGACGCCGCCTCGGCCGACGGCTCGTCGCCGTGGTTCAAGATCTTCCAGGACGGCTGGGGCGCCAAATCCGGCGCCGGCTCCGGCGACGACGACTACTGGGGGTCCAAGGACCTCAACACGTGCTGCGGCAAGATGAACGTCCCCATCAGCAAGGACCTCGCCAACGGAGACTACCTCCTCCGCGCCGAGGTCATCGCGCTGCACGCCGCCAGCCCCTCGGGCGGCGCGCAGCTGTACATGACCTGCTACCAGATCACCATCACGGGCGGCACCGGCACGGCGAGCCCCGCCACCGTCAGCTTCCCCGGCGCCTACAAGGCCAGCGACCCGGGCATCGGCATCAACATCCACGCCAAGCTTTCGTCCTACGTGGTTCCCGGCGGCTCCGTTGCCTCCATCGGCTCGACCAAGACTTCCGGATCGGCGTGCACTGGGTGTGAGTCGACGTGCGATGCTGCCAAGGGACCTGTCGGCACGGCGCTTCCAGTCAGTCCGGTCGGGGGTGGAGGCGGAAGCGGGGGCGGAGGCACGTCGCCGGGAACCGGAAGCCCGCCGTCGTGCTCCGTGCAGAAGTACGGCCAGTGCGGCGGTGATGGTTACACCGGTTGCACCACCTGTGTGGTAAGTTCCTCACTCACTTCTCCCGAGCTAGACGGTCAAGAACATCCAACTAACACTCGTTTCCGTAGTCTGGCTCAACTTGCCAGGGTGTTTCAGCACCGTACTACTACCAATGCGCCTGAGGTGACGTTGTCGATATCGGCTCGAGGGAAACACGGAAGGGCCAGGTTCCATAGACTCTTATGCGAATTGAACCAAGTTTGCTAGACATCATGCAGGACAGTCGTGTTGTCACACTCGTACAAGACGTGGAGGTGCCACTCTTTATCAGTTGACGCCAGCCGTTAACTGCATCTGGCTTTTGTCTGACTCGTGAAGCCATTTATTATTTCTTCGTAGCCTTAGCCTCCCACCGACCTACACCTGAAACCCACCGCTACCTATGGGATGTGATTATTTCGATAGCAAACAGATCTACACCATGATGGCACTGTCCATGTCTCTAGATGAAACAAGAATATAAAGTCGTAGCTTCTTGTGGATCGGTTCACGACATCCACGACAATCAAGGCGCGTTGGTCACGCGTCGATGACGCCCATCATGTCTGGCCAACAGCGTCGATATATGAGCAAACGGCAGCGGCCTTGCGATTTCTGCCGGTCCCGCAAGACGGCATGCCGCATTGATCCAGCGCCGCCCTGCCGTCTTTGCGTGCTGCATGGCCGGGACTGCACCTTTGTCGAAGGCACGGCACCCAGGAAACGGCTTTTACCATCCGACGAGATCAAAGACCGGGCTGTAGCGCAGCCGGACTCTCAGGAGCCCATGCCGATCACGACGGCCCCGAGTCCGGCGCATCCTCTTCCGCGAGGTCAAGAAGACCAAGCGTCACACGGCGATGAGATGACCTTCGTCGACAGCCTCAACTTCGATACGACGCAGTCCGAGTTTGAGGCCATGTTCCAAAGCCCACGCGCTTTCAGCACGCCGTCCACTGTATGGGCGAGCATCACCCCTCGACAGCCGGGATCGCGGGAACACATCGAGTACCCTCCCGGCGCCAACCCTCAGCTGTTGGGACTCAGCGGTGACATGGATCCCCTTTTGCTGCGTCATTATCGCACCGACGAGAGTGGCATGTTTGGCTTCAAAGAACTCGCCATCCACTCGGTGCAGGACTCGTCGATGCCGTGCCAGTTTCTCCTCTCCCAGCAGTCCATATTCTCTCGTCGGAGAGACGAATGCGGCGTGGACCGGCCCACCGAGGATGCGCTCTCTGCGCAGCTCGCAAGAATCGTCCCCGCCGCCGTTGGTGCGCGTCTCATAACGCTGTTCAGAGACTTTGTCCAGCCCCAGTTCCCCATCTTCGCAACATCGTTGTTCCCGGATCCCACGTCGACGCCGGCATACCTCCTTGCGGCCATCTATGCCATGTCGCTTCCCTTTGTGGTGTATGACGACAAACTGAGCGTCGACGTCGCGTACGACAAACCGCCGTACCCGGCGTTGTCGCAAATCATCGACAAGGCTCTCTCGTACGAGCTTCATTCGCCAAGCATCCCCGTCGCCCAGACGCTGCTCCTCCTCGTCTTGCGACCATCCGCGGACCCTTTGGTAGCTGATACGGCGTACCGACGGGATGTGCTGGGGAGACTCGTCTCCTGCGCCACAACCCTTGGCCTTCACCTTGACCCTTCGGATTGGTCCATGCCTGAGCGGCAAAAGGCTCACCGTCGTAGACTCTCCTTTGTCATTTATGCAGTTGACACGTGGATCGCCTCCACTCACGGGACTCCGCCGTCTACTCATCGAGACAACTGGTTGGTTACCAACTGGGAACCTGGGGACTTTGTTGATTCGGGTCTCGGCTCCGATGATGAGTCGCGGCTCATGGACTTTGCAACCATCACAGGGGTTTTGAGTTCGGCGCTTGCAAGCCTTTAGTGAGTCAACCTGTGTACTTCCAAGGGATTTTTGCAGTTCTAACTTGTCAGCTCTGTCCGAGCCATTCACGAGCTGTCCAAGAGCTGTGGTGGTGTTTCTACCGTCACCCAACCGCTGCTGCAGGCTCTGGCCTCAATACCACAACCAAGCAGTCCAGAGTCGAGTGCGCGTAATCTTGCACTATCCTACACTCAGTTGGTCATTCTTCGCGCAGAGCTACGGCCTTCGCTAGCACCAGGCTCACAACTTGGTCCAGACGAAGGCAATTTCGCGCGAACCGTAAGGGGGAAAACAAAGAGCTGCACTCGAGCTCTCACGGACGTGATACGAAGCCTGAGCCCAGACACAGATGGCATGTTCTGGCCATCTTGGACTCAGCTGGTCTTCTCATCCATTTGCTTCTCACTGGTGACCATGACCGTCTCATCGCCCGACTTCGATGAAGCCTCGGCCTGGATCGCCGACTTACAGTCGGCTCGTAAGAGTCTTCGGTTAAAAGTCGCTTCGTTCCCATTTCTGCGCCTAGGCCTCCTCAGGATCGATGCTCTGTTCTGGCGCGGCATCACAAACGTTTTGCATCTCGAGACACATGTTGAAGAAGCATTCAGAGCCGCGGAGCTGGTTTGAAATTCAGCTGAGCAGGCGTTGGACCTATTTCGAATCATTCAACCAACGCGAATCAGATTCATGTGATTGCCAGCGCTCGCCAAGGCTGACAAGACGCTCTTTTGACCGTTTCAACTGCCTCCAGTGCCATACTATACCCGACCTAGGAGCCGTATAACCGGCCTGGAAGCCGGTAACATTTGCGCCGTAGTCACGCATGAGGACCTGCTTCTCCTCGTGGGAAGAGGTATCACCCGTACTTCGATTCAGTTGGCCAAGAGGATACATACAGACCGGAGCCATCGACATCCAGGCATCAAAGGCCTACCAGACACCCTTTGGATATACCGTCCAAGGATCACGTCACCATTCAACTAGGGTCTCGGAATGATGTAAGTCTCGTAGCTCCTACGATGTCGCATAATGTTTGTCAGCACATGGGGTGCCTTTGCCAGCACGATCTGACCTCTTGTCGGGCAGCACTTAGGGTAGCACTTGGATCTTCGACCCTCGACAGGGTTTCTGATGGGTTTCTAGTATATTTGATTCTTATTTACACCCTAGGTGCAACACGGATGATAGCCAATGGCGGTCAGTGGAACAGGCTGCAGAAATAGCGTCGTAAGACAAGGATTGTCCAGTGATAATCCAGGTGCAGCCTCCACGAGGTTTCATGTGAAGCATTTGCAAGGGATTAGCAGCACAACTGGCACGGCATGCATGCTGGCCAGCCTCGCTCGCCTTCCACTCCTCATTCCAACGATCAAGTCCCCTCACGGATGTACATAGGGTCAGGTCGTATTCTGATGAGGAACCATTAGGTGTATTTGTCTCACTGCATATCATACATGCATTCCTACTATCTCTGTGCTTTAAAACGTAGCAAGTACCTCCTTAATTACAGCCTAAAACTTGAAAATCATTCTGTTGGTTATCACCAGGGTGGTGATACGGTTAACCGTACGTATCAATAGGCAATGACGAATAATAGGGGTAAATACCGGTTCTGAATTATGCGTAAAGAGGGAAACTATCGTGGGATTACGCGGTGAATTCACCGCGTAATATACCCGTGGGTCCGGTGGATCCACGGGGAAATCACCGTGAAATCCCCGGGGGATTTCACGGCGAATCGGCCATAGTTATTCCGGCCGTTATCGGCGTTAATCTCTACCGCCGATATCCAGGCGATGGTCAACATCGCAACACATTCCTTAGCTAAATGTCTGACTCCTTAACATTGGATACATGTTCCTGGTTTCGCTTGTATACTTCTATCTTAGTTACAACTTCCCGTAACTAAAAGATGAAATACTAGACACTTATAAAGTCCTCTTGATCTTCTGTTTCTGTGTCGTATTGCTACAAATTGTCCTTATCTGGCATAGGACAGTACTTGTAGCCCTTGGCCTTAAATATAATTTTGTTCTTGTTTTAATGCTTTTTTTGCTGATTTCTGCTTGCCTGCTTGGGTTTCTATTTTTCTGTGTCTAAGACGGGGATCTACTAGCCAGATTGTAAAGTGTGAGTAGGAGTAGTTGCTGTGATTGTCTTTAAGAAACCCTGCCGACAGTCCCTGCTCGAGCCTCGCAAGATGCAGTTTGCCAACAATGTCACGAGCCCCATATTCGCTGGCCGCTGGGACTTGCGTGGCAAGAAGCTCTGGGTCCCTAACCGTCAACCTCTTCAATCTTGGAGTCTTCTGATTCTAGAGAACGCATGCAACGAGGCCACTGACCAGGCCGTTGCACCGAGCTTCAAGCTATTATCGTCAATCCTGCATTACACAACCACTCCCCCTTCGAACTTGACTCCAAACAGCTACCAATGCCTCCTGGGCGCTGCAAATGCCTTCTCGACCCCGAATCGCGTTTCATTCATGGTAAAAGTTGTTGTTATTACGATGGGCGCCGTATTCAGGGCGGGCGTTTTCGGCATCTGGATCGAGGACGCCTGTACCAGTAGGGGGTAAGGCAATGATCTTGGCGCGCTTTTCTTTGGGAAGTGTTTCCCAGGCGGCTGGCTGACAGAGGATGGCAAAGAGGAAGAAGATAGACTCGAAGAAAGGAAACTGGGCTGTACACTAAAATAATCAGAAACGTCAATTAACAGGCAAATTAATGGAACAGGCGAATTACCTCAGTGGTGAGATAGCTAGGTACCTGGAAGAATCAGAGAAGCAGTTGTAGGGCGGAATGGAAAACAACAATAATAAGACCACGCACGGCGCCTAACGCAAAAGCACATATCGCTGAGCAGTGCCATCTTCGGCGCGTCAAGCCTCACTGGCAAGTACCTGATTGCGAGGATCGACAAGAATCGTGGCCAGATTTGCGCCTCGGACGATGAGCTGCGGTCGCTCATGAACAAATCGTGAAAGAATCGAAGAAGATAAGCCGGCGAGGATAAGTTCAAGTAGGAAGAGCTGTACGAGGCTCTCGAAACGGGATGAGGTGTTGATGGCTAGGCGTCACAGACTGGATGATCTTTAATGACGAGCGGGTGTGTCTCCAAGTTGAACTTGAGGGAGCTTCTGTCGAAGTGGGCAATGTTGGCAGGGTGGGCATTGCTGCCGTATACAGTCACATGACAGAAGTCTGGGCTCACCTATCCAGTGTGGCACATGTGTGGTGAGCCCAGACTTATGACATGTCACTGTACGTACTTCAACAGCGGACTCCTCCCCGCTAACGCTTGGACAACGCCCTATGTCCCTGACCTCTCAGCACCTTTCATTCGCTATTACTCCTCCCTACCCACTACGCTTTGCATGAGGGACTGCGAATAGCCTCCCCCATGTATCCTCAGTCCTCACCTTCTTCAAACCTCTCCGAATTTCTTCAAATCAACTTCCATCTCTTTTCTCCTTCGCCGTCGCCTCGCCCACGATCTCCTGTACCGACAAGTCCTACATCTGCGAAAACTATTATCCACTGACAACTCCTCCTGTCTAAATTCTCGCGCCGACCAAAAGCGACGCCACTCCTCATGGGGGGTCCCAAGCACAACAGCAAGGCCCGTAGCAAGGGCACGGGGAAAGATACCATCCCGTTGCCCGATGGTATCGTTCTCTCCGGCAGTTCTATCGCACCTGCAAGCGATAATGAGGACCAGCAGGTTGCCTTTGTCCCCGGCGAGTCCATGGAGATGCCGACTCGCAAGAAGGTCCGCAAGAAGATCAAGCCATCCACCCCCGAATTCGAATGGTACGGCTTCCCCGATTCCGACTTCGTTGCGTCTCCAGATTGGACCGCAAACAAAGATAGTGCCGTCAAGGGCGCTCGGTACAACTTCCGTCATCTTGACATCACTGTCGACAAGCCTTGGATCGCCAATCACCGCCCGCAGTGGCACAACGATGACTGGGCCGTCGACCATCACTCGAGCGACTCGACTATTAGCAACGTTGAAATGCGCGCCGCTATGAAGGTGCGAATTGACGCGAAATATCCAACCGGTGTGCGATGTGGTTTGAACTAGAAGTCCCAAACCCTGGCACAGGTCCCAGCATTGGCGCACTACTGCCATTTCAAGCATTCCTGGTGTTTCCTTACCTACCTCGACACATTCTGTGAGTTTCATTTCTTGTCCTCTTGACGTTCCCTTTTTACTTCTTGCTCCTTTTGGAAAGCTATGGGGACTTTTTCTTGCCTTTCTTCACACCGCCGTGAGATATCTGGTATTATTGATGTCCTGCGCCTGTGAAAGGGCCAACTTCCCTTTCCTCTTCGGCTGGCTCCTGGAACTAACGTTGGATATTTCAGGCGGTCGTATACTCTTTAGAGTCTCCGAGCTATATTACAACGGATGGAACAACAACATTCGCAATCCTTCAACCCCTAACCTTGTCGCTATCCTGCACACCCTTTCTCGGGATTATGCCTCGACTCCTCTGCTTGCTGGTATTCTCTCCAACGATGATCCGGACGTACATGAGGTGTCCAACGTTACGATGCTGGGGGAGTCGGCAGCCGGCCCCGAAGCCAACCAAGTCCACAAGATAGGGACCATTCTCCTTGCAGCCTCCCATGTTCTCAAATTCTCCCCCACGTCTCCGCTTCCGGATGGAGTCAACGTCAGCGCCGACCCGTCCGCTTACGGGCATCGATTCCAGCCCTCTACAGATGGAAAGGCTGTTGCAGGATACACTATGGAGGATTGGTGTCGGGCAATCAACATTGTGCTCATCTTCTGTTACCGCCGAACGGGGCGCACGCTTATCGCTAGCGAGACTGCCCCCCAGCACAAGGCTGTGACGCAAGTTATTTATGTTCCCGAGGATGATGACACCGGCTACATTGGCGAGGCAGAGGCCAGGAACTCGACAGAGAGCATGCTCAATCGCGCTCTCTTCAAGTTAGCTCCAGAACAGAACAAGGTCAGGAAGAAGTTAGCAATGCTAGCCTTGTCTCAGACCAAGATAGGAGCAGTCGATCACGTGGCCCGCCACGAGAAGATTATCTCGGCCATCCAGGGTTCAACTAATCTTACTGACGTGATTGCCTCGCGATGCCACGAACAAGGAATCCACTCCCCGGTCAAGGTTGATGACGAGACTATGAGGCTTTTGCTTGATGTCCTCTGCGATCGCGTCGAGATTAACCGACACACAAAGAGCTTCGATGCTATTGCGCCAACCTTTTCTGAAATCAGTCCCGACTATAATCCACAGCACTTTCAGGACTTTCTCGAAATCGGTTGCGCTGATTTACACCTTCAGGTCCAGGCTGCCAGAAGCGAGCCGGCCGACTCGCAAGCTCGCAAAGAAGCTGACATTGCTATCAACCGTGCATTTGAGACTTGGCTTATTAACTCGACTGTGTCCGCTGAATGTCCTGCCGAGGACGCTGACGACCTTGAGCATATTTCTCGTCTTCAAGGATACACTGATTGGCGAAACTGCGCCCCGAGCAGCCGCCGACCAGATTACAAGCTGTTCCCGCATCAAGTTATAGGTAAATACTTTCCGCTTCGGCCTGCCTTTCGAAAGGTGTGAGAACTACGGATTATTGATTATACGACTGTAAAAAGAATCCCGCGCCTTCTCACCTTCCAATGGCCGTGAATGCTATGTCTCTTGTTGTATCTTTCTGCTAACATATATATAGATTCAGATTACATGTTGCGCTTAGAGAAGACTCCCTTTAAGGGCGGCATTATTGGACATGGCGTTGGAACTGGCAAAACGAACATTATCTTTAACCTTGTTGCTGCGGCTGCAGATGAGATTGACCGGAACATTGCAACAAGCTCTGACGCGCCTAAGGGTCCCTTCTTCCCAACCCTTGTGCTTGCGTCTACTGCCAACTTTTCCCAGGTGTGGTATAAGTCCAAGGTCTTTGAAGACAAGTTGAAGTTCTATTTCTACTACTCTTCTCGCTCTGTTCTACCCAAGAATGACGGCCGCTGGAATTCTACTTGGAACTGGGACGAGCTTGACAGGAAGCTACACGGACTAGATCCCAATGACCCCCAGGTACGTTGCTGTGCTTAATTTTTAAGCCAAACGGGTTTCTTGCCATATATTATGGCTGTGGAAAGATCCCCCTCTTCCTTCTGTCTCCTAACCATGCTGACTCCTACTCTAGACTGCTAGAGTCGTTGTCTTGTCAACCCATAGCACCTACTTTGGCCGCACCACGAAGTACAAGACAATTCCTATCCGAGTTCAGCCTAACATTCTCCCTGGCTTTTTGAAATGCGCATCCGGCGAAGACGTCCATCCGAATGGTCGCATGTATGCCCTTCCGACCCATCATAACAAGCCAGTTGTGCCAGATAACTACTTCCAGCCTGATTGCTATTCAGTTGTTGAGGATGAGAACGAGGCTCACTGTTTCATAGGCCTGTGGGAGATCACCCACCGTCTTGCGGATTGGAAACGGTCCTGGGCCCGTGTTATTGTCGATGAAGCCCACTAGGGTAAAAAGGACGACGGAAAGATGTTCCAAAACCTTGTGCGTGAGAACGTGCAGAGCCTTCACTTCGCATCTGCGACTATCCTGGCGAACCACATCCGCGACCTTACTGTCTTCATCAAACTTCTATACCGGAAGATGTGGTCAGATGCTGGATATGAGGCATGGCTTGCGCCAGCCAGCCGCCATCTTGGCGACGTCATCCTGATATACTACCCGTCATATGATCCTCTTGCAGAGTTCACCACTATTGGCAAGCGTAAAGTGCGGGGTATATTCCATCCCACTACATATCCTGACGGTGTTCTTACCCCTAGCGCGAAGCGGTTCAAGGAGATGTGGCAGAAATGCCGCCTGCCCCTTTGGATCTTGCATCCCGGCATCTACTCCACCGTTGGCCGAGAATGTGGCTGGCGCGACGAGTTTGCCCAGGTTGTTGTTCCGTGCATCTTGGGTCTTATCCAACGAAAGCGCCAGATGCACACTCGCCTCCGCCTCCCTGACAACACTGTCACATTCCCAGCCAAGAACTTGAAGCCGTACAAGATTGTGATGGAGGAAATGAGCTTCACTGAGCCAGATAAGAACGAGGTGCTTGCACACTCGGAGGCCCTCCTCAAGGGTACTGTTATGCCCGGAAGCAGAAAGAAGAAGTCCGTCAAGAAGAGGCAAGCTTCCAACGCCAACAATGACAGTTTCTCAGATACAGAAAGCAGAAGTGGTGGTCGTTACGGCGGCATTGGTGGCAACTTAGGCCCAGCTTGCAATCTTGCCGATCGTGGCACTGCCTCCAGAAACGAAGTTGGCTACCAGGGAGTCATTACAACGATGCGAGAAGGCATGCTTGTCTCTTTCGATGTTCACAACATGGTCCTTCAAAATGTCGAGACTGATGATGCAAAGGCGCTCGAGCTAGTGGACGACGAGACTATTGACGCCATAGTCTCAAAGCATGCCAGGTACGGAGCAAATGGTGTCTCCGACACCATCAATACCGACGCTTGCTGCCAAATAAGCCCTGATCAGGTGGGTGCCGCCAAACCTAATGATGGCAACGATGAGGATATTGTCAATCTGGGTCGGGGGCACGTTGAGTATCTCATCAAGTCGGATCCTTACGGCGGTCTCCTTCACCTCTTCCGCGTTGTCACTGAAGACTGCGACCTTCCAGAACCCCACAACCCATTCCAACTGCTGAAATGGGTTTGCAGTCAATCTCCCATCTTGACTCGCGTGTTGCAGCTTACCTACGATGTCGTCCGCGTCGAAAGGACCAGGTTCTTTGTGTTGGCACAGTTTCCCTGGCAGCAACAGTGAGTCTGATTTCCATGTTTTCATGGCCGCAGTTTTCACAGCCTCGTTCTTCGCGGCTGAGAAAGGTCTCACCCCTCAGGACTGAGAGATTTCTAACATCCTTCGCTTCAGGATCATTGCCGCTATGCTCGCAATAGGTGGTTTCAACGTCGAGTCTATTCGCTCCTGCCATTCCGAGGCTGAACGTAGCGTCTCGATCGAGAGATTTACTGAAGCCGGTTCTGGTGTCGAAGTTCTGGTCGCCAACACTAACATCTCACTCAACGGTCTCGACCTCCAAGACCAGTGTTACAACGGGGCCTTTGTAGGTGTCGAGTGGTCTATTAATGCCCATATCCAAGGGGCTGGCCGTCTCGTCCGTGTCGGCCAGAAGCACCCAGTCATCTTCCACATGTTAAAGGTCAAGCACACCTATTACGATTACATGGAGCGTAATATGGTCAGTAAGTGGGCAGAAGAGTTGCTTGGTTTTGCCAGGCTTCCTAATCACATCAATGGTTGGATCCGTTACGCATGCGTCCACGAGATTATTCGCAATTATCTCCATCTTGACTTCAACCGTCTGTGTTGGTGCGATGGTATTATCCAGGGTGATGATATCTCAAAGTATCACGCTACAGAAACAGTTCAGCGAGGCCACTTTTATACCTTTGTTGCTATCTGGGCCCGGTCCCTCTCACGCGCCGAGTATGACGAGAAGTTGGCGTCGTGGCATTGGAACCTGCCTGAGATTACTAACGCGTACGCTCTCAAGTTTATCAGCAATGTTACTGAACCTTTGACGTACGAGGACATTGTGCGTCTCAATCTGTCTGAGGAAGTTTGTCAAGGCCTCAACGCAGCTATGGAAATTGCCATGAAGGGACCGGTCGATGAAAGTATGGCCGAAAAACTCAAGACACGCTTCGAGCGCCGAAAGCTTGACAGACAAGAAGCCGTCAGTGCTCTAAACCAGGAGGAGGATAACGACTTCATTGCGACTGATGTAAATGACGCTCCGAAATGGTTCAGCAGCATTGAGACTACACAGAGCTCGGCTGACCACAACCAACGCGCGGCCTTCGGCTTGTCTCGACCAGAAATACTTGATCTCCCTGACGACGAGGACGACCCTGAATGTGCTTTGCATACACTTACGCCAAAGCCTGGCGACGGCGACATCCAGGCTCTCAACAGCTGCTCGCTACGCCCTCATCGAGGCCGCGGAGCCCATTCGGAGGAATACCAGGTAGCCGCAGTAGAGGGTCATACTTCCGAGACTGACGCCATCTCAGACAGCCTGGATGGCAAGGCGACAAAGCGTCTTTTGGAAGACGGGGAGGTAGAAATCTCCAATCCGAAAAAGACCAAACTGTCCAGTATCTGATGTAGTAATGAAAAACGATATAGAGTAGCTGACCCTCGTAAAGAGACCATTGTACTCGTGATCAGACCTTTTTTGTTAGCTCATCTATTCAGATATGGTCGGCACCATGGTCTTGATATGCTAGTCAGCTTCCTACCGTACAAGCCGATAAGCCATTTCTTGTCTCAATGAATGGTTCTGCAGCGCCGGGCGTCAATGCCTGGCGTAGGTGGAGCTTTCCTGTGTGCCGACATCTCCTGACTGGAGTCAACTATCGCAGCTGAATAGAGTGGCAAGGATGCACGAGGCGGGCTGTAGTTGCCAGTTCCGATGCGCTGGGATGTCTTGTATAGACATAAAAACAGATGTTGGGTTGCTTTATAGGCAAAGTTCTTATCCTCAGAGAAGGCACAACAAGGATAGATCAGAGGATTCAAAGGGAAGATAAGAACAGCAACTCAGTGAGGGCTTTCGGCCCTATGTTACCCTTTGCCATCGGCTGCCCCCTGGTATGCGGATTCCATAGCTTTATTAATAGTTACCAGTGATGGCGGACTTGCCCTGTAATTTCGTCGCTGCCTCCGGACTATAGGCATGTTGAGGGCGTTCTTGAGAGCGGGTTGGTTATTGTCGTTGTATACAACGCTGTAGAAGCAAGAATGCAGTCGCCCTTGCGACATACCTCCTGATAAGCTAAACCTCGCCATCGCTGTCGGAGAGATGACCTCCAACTATGTCTACTTTTTCAGGTACTAATTATTCTCTGCCTTTCCTCTTTCCTTTGTCCAAGTGGAAACAACATCGTCAGACTCAATGTTTTGAGTTATATACAGGCTTCATCAAGCGAAATTAGGGAATGCGAATTACTTTCTGTCCCCGTAGTGAGTAGACTTGAGCAACTCGGCGGTATCGTCAATGAACTCAAAACTCTTGGCGAGACCTCTCTGAGGGTGGTTATAGTGTGCAAACGCATGAGGAACTCCGGCGTAACGTTTCATCGAAACCTCGTTGCCCGCATCTCTGAGCAGTTTCCCGTAATATTCTCCTTCGTCCCTCTCCAAATCGAATTCGGCCGTGATTATGTGAGCTGGTGGCAGGTTCTTCAAGTTCGGCGCCAACACCGGCGTGAGCCTCCAATCGTCAAGACACTTTTGCTGTTGATCTGCAAGTCCCTGTCAGCCCCTGTTGTTCTGAAAGACGCGTGATGGCTTTACCGTCGTCGTCCCCTAGCCAGTATTTCAAAAACCATTGCTCTCGTCCGAGTGGTCCCCAGGGGAGGTCGTGGTACAGACGAGCGCTCTCGTACGGACAGTTCGACTCATTGAGCTGGGTAAACTTGCGATGGCAATATCTCATATCCGTAGCTGGCACGATCATCATGTGCAACTTGATCGGAATACTTTCGTCTCTGGCAAAGTGGGCTAGCACAGCTGACATTTGTCCACCAGCTGAAAGACCTCCGAACGAAACGCTCAAAGGGTCAATTTTCAAGTCTGCTGCGTTCCTGATGGCCTGGTCTAAGCGTTAGTGGACAACTTGAGCGTAATAGGATCGCCACTGTTTACCCATTTCACAGTGTCCCAACAGTCGTATATGGCGGCCGGGAACTTATGTTCGGGTCCCATACGGTAGTCAACGTCAATGACCTTAATATTGGACTTATTGCAGATGTGACGACACCACGCGGCCTCACTATTGAGTCCTCCCAGAACCCACCCACCTATTCCAGAGTATCTTGCTGTCAGACCAGAATCGTCCAAGTGTACACAAAACTTACCGCCATGAAAATTGAGGTGCACAGGAAAAGACCCTGGTCCTTCAGGGGAGTAAACCCGCACGGTGATCTCCCCAGATGGCTGTGTAACCGGAACCTTGCGATCCTCGACATGGAAGACGTCCGGACCTTGATAACAAGACATGTCAGCGCTGCTTCAGTAGTCGAACTTTCAATCTGAAATTTACCTTTGCAAGTGGGATACGTAAAACTGTATTGCGCTGGAGATTCTCGGTACTGTTCAATTGTAACCTCATCGGCCCTTGTCATCCCCCCGCCATGTTCGTTCCAAAGACGAACCCATTCAGGATCTATACCGGGATAATCAGCGGCAGACAACGCAAGGCGACCATCGCCTGCTTTCGGCGACGGCTGCTCATTCAATTTTGTTGCGACTGTCATTTTGGAATTGCAATTGAGGTGTTTGCAGGTGAGCAGTCAGTGTCTGGGAAGAGTCAAATTGCGAGCCAACAACGCAAAGACTATCACGATAAACACAGACCTCGCCTCCAGGCTCTCTGTTCCCGCTTTCTGTTGCCGAACCGAACAAGCGACCGGGCCTATCGTGTCTGTCTGCCGCTGATGTTCACTCCGATTGGCGGCGTTCAGATGGCCGATATTGGTGGAGACAACGGACAACGGACCCGGTCTGATGGCGGTGTTGAACCTGATTGGTGGCGTTCGTGAATACTATCTTTGATGATAGGCCAGAGAACGCCGCCAATCAACCTTCACGTAAATCCCCAGTGTTATCTCCCGTATCTGTTCATGCGACCTGGGGAAGCCTCCGCTTCGCCTGATCCGCCGGATCGAGTCAGGGGACCAGTGACCAAAGAGACTTGGGTCGTAGCGGTTTGGAAGTGGCAGTCATCTATATGACTACACGACATGCCGCCTGAGAAATCTCGTGTGACGTACGGTAGCTAACAGCTTTGAAACTTGCGATTGTCGTGGAGTACAGTAGCCATGAGCGATACCAAGGACACCATCACGGGCCCGGGGGAAGGACAGGTTCATCCGGATGCGCCTGTGAAAGCATCTGCTCCGCAATGGGCAAACCTTCGAAGAGTGCCCGACAAGCTTCCAACCGTTGCACTGTTGATTCTTGTTGTAGAGGTAAGGCGATGTTCCAGCGCAGTTCTTGTATCTGTCACTAATAATACCTCCCAGCTTGGCGAGCGATTCACATATTTCGGTCTCAGCGGACCGATTCAGAATTATATCAAGTGAGCACTAACACCATGGTGTTTGCCCCATTGCTCACGACACTGGTCTGACTTTTGTGTGTTACAGTAACCCATATGATCCCTCCTCCGATCTTCCTGGTGCACTTGGCCGCGGCCAAGCCGTTGCGACAGCTTTGGGCAACTTCTTCAAGTTTTGGGCCTATGCATCCACCGTTATTGGAGCCATTGTAGCAGGTAAGCCACACTATCCATCTGATTATACTGCGTCTCCGATGTTTCTGCGCATGCTTACCTTGTATCAACGTAGACCAGTACCTTGGGAAGTTCAAGGCGATCCTTGCAGCTTGCGCTGTGTACATCGTCGGCTTGATCATCCTCGTGGCAACCTCGACACCCGCTTCGATCAGCAGTGGGGCGGGCTTCGGTGGCTTGATTGCTGCCATGATCACGATCGGGCTAGGAACCGGTGGTATCAAAGCCAACGTGACGCCCATGTGCGCCGAGCAGTATCGAAACTCGAGCCCTGTTGTCCGAACTCTCAAGTCTGGCGAAGAAGTCCTGGTGGACCCCGAACTCACGGTTCAAAGGTTGTTCATGTGGTAAGTCAACCTTGTTGAGACGACATGTCAACCAATGAAACTGACGAGCTCTTTTAGGTTCTACTGGGTAGTCAATATTGGTGCTCTATCACCGTTGATTACTGTCAATGTGGAAGCGCACCACTCGTTCTGGCTGGCTTATTTGATTCCGCTCATGTAGGCATAATCCCGGAGAACGCCGGTAGTGAGTGAACTAACAAAGAACAGCGCAATCATTATATCGGCCGGCGTGTTCATCTCAGGGCAGAAGAAATACGTCAGAGTCCCGCCTGAAGGTTCTGCAATCATCGACGCGGTTCGTGTAACACGCATCGCCATGAAAGAAAAGGGGTTCGAGAATGCCACCCCTTCGGCGCTCAGAGACTCTGGACGCGATACAAACTACGCTATTGCGAGTGAGGCTCGCTATACAGACGACTATGTCATGGATGTGATGCGGGGGCTGAAGAGCTGCAAGGTACGTAGATTAAACGTCATCGTCCGCTAACGGAGGCACTGACAGTGATATTTCGTAGATGTTCCTCTTCTTCCCGCTTTATTTCATCTGCTGGATTCAGATCTGGAACAACCTCATATCCCAAGCCGGCGAGATGGCGTTGCACGGAACCCCGAATGACCTCCTCCAGAATCTGGATCCCATAGCCCTGACGGCCTTCATCCCGTTGCTCGATAGTGAGTTACATTCAGCCGGGTGGCGGTTGTGGTGGTTGTGGTGATGGTGGTGATGGTGGTGTTTTGCTAACGTCTGTGATTCTCAGTGGTGATTTACCCTCTTTTCCGAAAGCATCGTATCGATTTCGACCCGGTCACCAGAATATTCGTCGGGTTCCTGTTCGCGTCGTTTTCCATGGTCTATGCTAGTGTGCTGCAGCATTACATCTATAACTCCCCTCCCAAAAGCATCCACGTTTGGATCCAGGCACCCGCATACATCCTCGTGGCGTTTTCAGAGGCGTTCATTATCGTCACTGGGCTTGAGCTAGCCTTCACTCAGGCACCGAAGAAGTAAGTCCCATCCCTTAACGCTGGAGCCCTCACTGGGACACTCGGCTGACAAGCCTTCACTCTGCAGCCTGCGATCAGTTGTCTCTGCTCTGTTCTGGTTGACTATTGGTGTCGCGGCGGCCATTTGCATTGCGCTTGCGCCAGTCTCCCAGGACCCTTATTTGGTATGGATGTACGCGTCTTTGGGGATCATAGGTTTCGTGGGTGGATGCGCCTTTTATGCTTGCTTCTACCCAAGAAGGAAGAATCGTGACACCGTGGAAGAGATTATTGACGGCAGAAGGCCATAGTGGAAGCATGGTTCCACAGTTCACTGAAGGTAACTCTAGGCGCTGAAATTCATATAGTATTTAATGATGGAAATGGAGTGCAATTGCCAACCCTGGCACCTTAGCAATGCAATGATAGACTATGGTGAGTATATTAATAAGTTCTGCCTCCTCCTTCAGCGAGGGTATGGAATTCTGACGCCACCTGGCGACCCTAAACTACCTTCATCCTTACTGCTTTCTGGCTTAAATAGGTGCAGAGGAACATAGTTGAAGGGGTCGGTCTTGGGTCTGTTCTCGGGGGTAACACTAGGCGTACTCATCGGAAGCTGCCATGAAAGCCCCTTGTTTGTATCCGCCTTGGGTGAGAAGACGCCGCTGCTGGCTGTGCTCGCAGTCCTGGTATGGCTGGCTCCGGAAGCCGAGCTCTCGGTGGTGCTGGCGAAGCTCTTCCTGTGGTTCATCTCCGGATCGGGCTCGACCTGCTGGTGGCCTCGAATCCACTGCAGCCAGTCCAGGACGGGGGTGTGTATGCCATCATGCATCGTGTTTTCGGGATTGCTGTGGTTCGAAGGCAAGCCGAGGTACGGTGGAGCCGGGCTTGGATTCGCGGTGCTCCGGGCGATGATGTCTCTCCGACCGTGCCACAGCATTGATGATATGGTACTGCGAGAAACTTGGGACTGATGACGTGAGGTGGTCTTGTGTGATCGGAAACTAGTCAAGGCGCTCGGCGTGGACGCTCCACTGCGAGACGAGCGAGTCGGCCATCGGAAGATCCGGATCGGAGACGGCTGTGGGATCGGCGGCGGCGGAGGGAATCCAAACGTCCCCGTGTCTGCGAGAGACTGCACGTACCGCTGCGCCTGCGCATATGAAAATGGTTGCGCCGCAAATGGAACGGCATCAGGGGCTTCTCTGTGTTGATCAGGGGAAGTGGCCTGTGCAAGTGTGAATTGTGCAGGATTTGGATGATGGTGCGTGATGAAATCCCCTTCTACGGTTGAGTTGGTCTCAGACATTGACGGGTAGCTGTGGACGGCGTCGTCTCGGAACCTGTCATCAGGGGCATACTCATTAACGGGGCTCGTCGATGGAACGGCTGTGTGATCATGACGATCTGCCTTCTTCTTCCGCCGTAAGCACCAAAACAACAAGAGCGATAGCCCAAGGAAGACCACGATCCCCACTACTAGGATGTCAGTACTGTTCATTTCGGTTGTTCAGGGGGAACGCTTACACACAACACCAGTGGCGACCAAAGGCCCCTGATTAGTTGAATTGGATGTGCCCCCAGGTGTAAGTGTCTGCGACGGCTGTGTGGGACTTGTGGCTTCGGTCTTTGTAGTGACTGCTCCTTCAATGCTTGCCGCTCCGGTCTTTGAGTTAACGGCTGGTTGTAAAGGGACTTGTGACGAGGCCGCGTTCTCGGCCTTCGGGGGCACAGTCTCGGCAGCAACAGGAGGTGATGTCGTGAGAACTTCGTCACGACTCGCACTCTTTGCTGCTGTAGTCAAGGGCGCGGCACTGGTTGATGGTGCCGGCTGTTGAGTTGATGGCAGTACGAGGGCGGGCGGCAACGAAGTATGTATTTCCTGCGGCTGTTCTTGCTTTGGTGATGCGGCTGGGGTCGCGGCGGGCTGCTTTGCAACCGGAGCCTGTGTCGTCGCGACGGGAGCCTCAGCAGCTGGCGTCGTTGCAGCCGGCACAGCAGCAGCAGCAGTCTGCGTCTGAGCTGCCGCTGGCGTGTTGGCTGGCTGCTCGTTGTTCTGAGTTGTCGTCGCCGGCGATGACAAGATATCGCTGACAATTTTGCCAGGGTTGCTGAGAATGTCGTCGAGAAGACCCCGGTTGAAAACTTTACTTATTAGTACCTTCCATGGCTCTCCTGTTTAGCCATGATACATTATTGTTCAGTTCCCGCTGTGTATGATAGGTATATGGTCGCCTGCAGGTTGCTTGTCTGCTGTACGTAAGTGGTTGAATAGTGGTTGATCAAGGCACGCTCGCTGGCAAGCTCAAATGCTCGTTTCGTGCAACATGTACAAAGTCTGAAATGAGGGGGAAAACAAACAATCCAAGGGAAGAATTCTTGATGGAGAACGAATGACTGGAACTCGGAATGAGAGAGCACGACATTCAGGTTGAGAAAGGCTCGACATACCCAGAATTGCGAGAGTAAGGGTATTAGAGACAGCCACCAGTTGTCCATTTGGGACAGTCGAGGTCAATGCGGACATTGGGATGCACTAGGTCTGATGAGATGGTCCGACCCTTATCGTTCGTTCACCTCTAAGCCGAAAAGGTCACAACATCTGCTGTCCCACTGTCCAAGCTACGACTGTCCTACAAACCGTCACCTAGTTCTCTCTTGCGGATACGTGCAGCCGACCTCGACTAGCTCGATTGACTACGAGACATGGCGCCGCCTACATCTCCGTTAGCTGTTACATCAGGGGGAGTGGCGTTAATCTTTGCTGAGGAAGAAGGGGGACGCTAAATGACGCCAACAGCCCGTGCAGCTATGGTGCCTGATCCTTTCTGGATTGATGAAAGTCCTCATCTGACAAGCAAGCTGGACATTGGACCAACACCAGGCGAGTTGGAGCTGGGTCGAGGGCGGTCAAAAGGGGGAAATGATAGCTTGGAAGCCTCATACGACGCAGCCACGTGAGTTGGCGGCAGTGGCACTGCGGGCTGGTGTCAAAGGAGACTGAATTTACATTTCACTTTCTTGATCAGTAATTGTTGAGCAAGATATAGGCGACGACGAAGAAACAAGTGGAGGCGTAGTAGTGTCTGGCGTCCTCCAAGACAAATGGCTAATATCCCGCATTTTGCATGTGCATGTCGGGGTCCCCTGTACGCACGGATATGATCGACAACAGGACGTTCATCTGATCAGTGTTCGAACCGTGGCAAATGGGAATACTTGTAGTCAGTTAGGTTCGAATCCTATCGGCGTCACATTTTGGGGTTGTTGGCACAACTGTTTCTTTCGAACATCTCCCTTCTCTCGGCCCGGGTTCTGGCCACTCGAGAGCCCTAGCGTTCTTCAGCGGCTGTCTTAAGAAGATGTATGGATCGTACTTTTATCTCTCGAGCTTTTTAAGATGCAACATCGTTCTAGGTTTCAACACTCTTTCCTTGCAACCAGTGTTTAAGCTCGTTGCATCGCCTTTGCAGGTCACAATCCGAGGCCGAGACTAGATCAGCACGCCAAGCTCTACTCATGATGATTTTCGCGCAATAGGACCGGCCCAAGACTGTCGCTCTCTTGCACTCACTTGACAGTCGCGATCAGTTCTGGTGGCATCTCAAACTCTGCTGATGACGCAAGCCTTTCCAAGCTCTTCATGGCATCACGCCTCGTTCGGTGATATCGATCAGAGAGGGTGGCTGTGTGCGTACAACTCGAGTGTCTTCCGTGGGATTAGACTTGGTCAAATTCGATGCCAATACCAGACTCCATGGCTGGCAATCATCCTAGAAGAAACACTCAAATCGCCCTTGGCCAGCTCATAATGTAGGTACTGGGAGGTAAAGTGAAGTTATATTTCTGAAGACTCGGGGCTCTTCTTGTTCTAATCATCATTTCCAGGCTCATGTTTTCGCCTAGATTTGATAACGCGCGCTATATAATCATCTCCTTGACAAACACCTTTGTCGATTCACGTATTGAAATCAATCCGAGAATTACACAATTCGGCCCGAGGGGGGGCTCTCAAACACATTTGTACCCTGCAGATCGCGTCGAGGTAGAACATTTGCGCTCCAATCTCAACCGAGGACATGTCACTGTGGCCTAACACTCTGCCATTGGCATATCGTTATCAATAAGGCAAACTAACCGGAGTTGGTTTTCCCGGAAATGATGCGGGCAATGTTACACGACAGTACATTTTCAGTCAATATCCATACCATTCTGACCAATGAGGCCTCTCTGCCTTACTATGCAACTGCTCATCCCTACCCAGATAAAAGAGACGCTGATTCAGCACATTGCAGAACATCCATTTTATAGAAGTTGGATAGTTTATAAAGTTGTGTGCTTTTACTCAAGTTTGAGGCACGAATCCATTAAGTTCATCGCATGTGCAACTCTCAACATGGCCTTGTTGACATTGGTCCTTGGGCCTGCAATTCTTTTATTGATATATCTTTTCATTCAACATGGTCTACGTCCGTCCAGGTCCAACAACAACTTCCCGCCAGGACCACCGCCTGTACCGTTTCTCGGAAACCTCCATCAGATACCACTGACCAAGCCCTTTCTCCAGTTTGCCGAATGGAGCCGAACCTACGGTTCCCACGGCCTTGTCGGCCTGCAACTCGGCCCGAGCAAACAGGCCGTCGTCGTCAACTCTTGGAAGTCAGCTCGTGACCTCTTGGACCAACGCGGCGCAATCTACTCGTCTCGGCCCTACGTGCCCATCGTTGAGTATGTGGTACCGCCGCCGGGCGACATTCATCTCGTCTTCATGCCATACGGGTCCAAGTGGCGCAAGGCAAGAAAGACCATCACGGACTATTTGAAGGATGAAGAAGTCGACAAGCTGGTGGCTCTGCAAGACGCTGAATCTTCCCAGATGATGCATGAACTGCTGTCTGAACCCCGCAGCTATCATGATCATATTTTGAGGTACTTTGGTTCTATAATTATGTCGAGTGTCTTTGGCACCAGGGGAAAAGACTTTTCTGATGAGGGGAGGATCAAGCAGTTCTTTGCTTGTCAAAACGAGTGGGCAGGCATGCTGGACCAAGGAGCCGTTCCGCCCTTTGACGTGTTCCCGTTCTTGCAGTACGTGCCGGACGTCATGACGCCGTGGAATGGCTGGCAGCAGAGGGCTGCTGCGTTGAAAAAGATGCAGAATGGGCTGTATCACGACTTGTTTGAAGAAGCCAAGGCCCGCATTCGACAGGGGAAGGGCGAGGACAGCTTTGTGTCCAGTCTTCTCCGAAACAACGAGAAGGAAGAATACAGCGATGTCGAGCTGGAATACATCGCTGGGTTTCTCATGGAAGGCGGGTCTGATACCACTGCCGGTGCTTTTGAAACCTTTGTTCTGGCTATGGCTGCGTATCCGGACATTCAGAAACAGGCGCAGGCAGAGGTCGATTCTGTCTTTGGAGACGACGGCGTGCGTTCCAAGAAGCTCAATGGAGCTGTGATGCCTTACCTCAAGGCCTGCTTCTTCGAGGTAAGTAGCTCGTTTGCGTCGAGTCACTCAATCCCTCTTGCGACAAATCCTAACTCATGGCCAAGACTTTACGATGGCGCCCCGGCTTCCCACTAGCTATCCCTCATGCCACCACTCAGGATGACATCTACGAAGGTTATCATATCCCGGCCAATACCACCATCCTCATGAATGTTTGGGCTATCAGTCACGATCCGGATGAGTACGACGACCCGGACTCATTCAACCCCGAACGATTCATCGGCAGCACATTCGGCGTCAAAGAAGCTGATGGGAGCACCAAAGAGACCCTGGACCCGTCCCGAAGGCCCACGTACAGTTTTGGAGCTGGAAGAAGAGTTTGCGCGGGCCAGCGGATGGCCGAGAACAGCATGCTGATGATCATGTCAAAGCTGCTTTGGTGCTTTGACGTCGTGCCAGGAGATCGGATGCCGGATACCAATGTTCAGACCGCTTTCAAGGATGCAATTCTGACAGGCCCAAAGCTCTTCGACGTTAGCTTCAGAGTGCGAAGTGAGAAACGGCGAAAGGTTTTGGTAGATGAATGGCGTAAGGCGGATGCATGGCTCCAGCGGTTCGAGTAACGTGTGTTGAAGCAGCATTAACAAGCCGTTCCTCCAAACCTTTTCAATCATAGCCAAAAGCGAAACATGCTCTCTACGGATACCGGTTCATTGTTTTACGTAGAGAAGTTTTGAAACGACATCATACCAAACATTAATGCTGATCATGCTAGGGCAGCTGTGACAACCAGACATCACCCAGATTGGCGTCCACAAGGCGGAGGACGACCGCCAGGGTTACATCATTACCAGGGAAGTAGTTAAGGTTAGACTAACAAACAATAATGCGGAGGAACTCTGCAAGTTGAAGCTAGAGCTACGGCCCGAGTGTGACTCCACTGATTGGCAGATGGTGAAGACGGCGATCAAGGTCAAGGCACCGAGATGAACCCCAGCATCTTGGCGAAGGAAAGGCACGGTTGTTACACCGGTGTGCCTAGTGACAAAACCCCGATCGACACTTACCCCGTCACTGCGCAGAGCTTCGCAAAGGTCATTCCCGCCGTCCTACAGCTGTCGGGGCTCGTCATGGAGGCCGCCTTTGAGCGGAAAACAAGGCTGTTCTTCAATACTGGTTATATGTTCTATAACGGCTTCTAGGCGAGCCCAGGTTATCTGTGACCTCGTTTGGCACCGAAAATAGAGCAACTCTCCCCCCTGGCTAATATGCGTGACAATTCTGGTCAACGAATCACATCTTCATTGCCTCATCGAGAAGCAGGATACCGACTGTGCGTCAATCTTGCTAGCATCGCTTGTCTCAGCTGCACGGTCCCCGGATCTACTAGCCCGGAACCATGTACGGAAGAGTTGAGTCCTTACCTCTTGCTTCGCTAACCTTGTCATGGATGAGAAGACGTGTGCAAGGAACATCATCACCACACGCCAGTCTCCTCGTGGTTTGTACAAGGCAGCCTTGGACTGATATTCAGCACTCGACACCTTCTGGAAAGTCCCTCATCCTGCCGTCGCCATCCCAAAGGGCGGCGAGAACTTGACGCGTGCCGTTCCACGGCTTTCGGGAGTGCATAACTGCATAATTCTAGCGGGAGCGCCTCGCGTGTCAGCCACACGACGCTAGCACGAACTCTCTCGGGTAGACACTCACGTCGAGGAGCACCAGGTCTTCCTTCTCCCATTCGACGTCGACGGCGCCGTCCTCTGCTAGCTTCAGTAGTAGGTCCAAGACCTTTACGTCGATCGGCGTGCCGTCGCCATATGTCGGAGGAGGGTGGTACGATCCATCGTCACCGCGGAAGGGAGGCCGCGTCGCACCATGGTGCCTGCTGCGCCCCCAAGCCGAACGAAGTGACGCTCTCGGAAAGAACCCCGTTGCTCCTGTGGGATCGTGGGTCCGGATGGCTTTTGGGGGATTTTTAATAACATGAGGTTCCGGGCGTTTCCAAGTGAGACTAGAACCCGCGGGATTCTTCTTACCTCGGACTATGTGCGTCACGCTTATGCTACCGTCTTCGTGCCACTCGAACCGGTCACTATGGCGTCGAACCTCGTTCTCAATCTTCCTTCGTGCCACGTCTTCGATGTCCTCGTCTGTGACCTCTTGGCCGTAAGCCCCGTGAACGCTCGTGCCTATGTTGGAAAACGAGCGAGTTGATTTTGTAGCGGCAATCGTGTTCGACACCATTGGTAAGAGGCTTCGAGAAAAACCTAGGCTTTTAACGAGAAAGCTCACGGGCAATGTAGATGGCTAAAGTGATCGGAGCCGCGCCACCTGAACTGAGTGAACGACGGTCGAGTTTATTGAATTCATGGCATGCTTGAGTTGGGTGGTTGAGTGAATACTACGTCAATATGCAGAACTTGAAATACTGGAGTCGGGAAGCTTATGAGCGAAGAAAGTCAACCACGCTGGGTTGATGGTGCTCCATCCGCATTCGCTATGTGGCCAAATTGGCAACTCGGGTGGATTTTAAACGACGTCAACCTCTTATCGATATTGGTAATAGCACCCAACCTGCACGCCAGGCCAGTTCCAAATAGCATTGATGCTACCCGACAGACTGAGCGCGGTTGTTGCCTCGAGGCCAAGGGGGAACGAAGATGACCATCCTAGTCCAAAGGCAGCCGTGTCTTGCTGGCCAGGTACATTGAACGGCTCAACAAGTTGTGGAGTTTCATGAGTACCCGACTGTTTGGCTTCAAAGGTTGTTGGCAAGCCTTCTTTAGCGACTAGACTCACTTGAACCGCTGCCATAGTGAACTGTTGTATATTATGTTACTACACTGGGTCTTGCAACATGTACAGGTTGTCCAGACTACGTATGCTCTTCAGGCAATACACAAAAGTGTTATATATCTGTCCCCTCTCCCGATATCGCGGACTAGTCGTTCGAAGGATTCGCCACTTTGAGGTATGTAGTTGTAGCAGGTTCTTCTCTGGCTATCTCTTGGTTGTGCATGGCGTGATAGCGGATCCTGGCATGTGTCGAATCCCATGCGACAATCGACGATAAGTACGCAAGATCGGGGAAGGATGGACTATACGCAGGAAAAGGGCAAGATCTTTTTGCGTAACTCGAAGCAATGCACCGCTCTCTTACGAAATATCTATTAGCTCTCTAAGTGTTTGTTGATTGTCTCCTGAGGCTATGCGGCTCCGGTGTTCAGTCAAGGTATCTGTAAAAGAAGCAGAACGCCTTTTGATCTACCGCTCTATAAGAGCCGGAGATATCCCACGCAAACAAGCCAACACCATTTGAGGTCAACACGTTGTGATCATGAGCACCTGCAGCTAGCCACATCAAGGTTGTGGAACACTCTACCGTGGGCATCGCCGCGTTTACCGCACCTGGACTATGGAACGCAATGAGCTCGGCAAGGGCGGGCGGCCAGCATTCACCGCACCTGGTCATGTAAGCTCTTGTACCGCTACGGCAACAAGTGGTTTGTGTACCTCGTCTCGGTGGCCCGCGGAAAAATCGCCGCGGGGTTTCTCTGGGCCGCGGAGGGGGCGGTCATGCTCAGCTACCCCGAGCCGGAGAACCGGGGCAGGTACTTGGCCTACTGGCTCTACTATCGTAACAGCGGCAGCATCCTGAGCGGCATCATCAACCTCGCCTTCAACTACCAGGGCCGGCGTACGGGGAAGCTTGGTTGGAGGACGTAAATCGTCTTCGTTGTGCTGCGTAAGTTCCGGCCCGAGCTTCCGTCCCAACCAACTTTGCCGATCCCGTCAATGACAAGCGGTCCCGCCTCCCCCCCCTCGTCCGAGACAACATGCGACGGTACTAAACTAACCTAATCTTGAAAAAGAATGCATCGGGCCGTTTGTTGCCCTGCTCCTTTCCCCGCCGGAAAAAGATCGTTCGACGGAACGGCACCCGCGTCCAGATTGTCGAGCGCATCCTCTGACTCGGCTGAACTGAGAGAACTAGGACGTCTCATGCTCCGAAAGGAGTTCCTCCTGGTATAAGTCTCCTTGGGAACATCGCTAAATGACCAAGAGCCCTCCACTAACCGTCGCGGCGGCAGTGTGCCCTTCTTCATCCATGTCAACTGGATACTGCCGCACAGCAGCTCGCATCTCTCGCTCTACTTTTTCCGTCCGCTCCCGCGCCTTGGCGTCGCTCGTCTCCGCATCGGCGCAGATCACAAGCACCGCGGTACTGGGGGTCGTTTCTGGAATGGAAGCGTCTCTCGCTGAACGGGCGCACACGTGTTTCGTTCGTGTTTCTTGCGGCGCTTATCGGCGGTTGCTGAGCCTGTGGCGCCGTCGTCCAGGTCGAGTTCGTGAGGCACAAGCCCATCCTCGATTGGGACGAGCTAGGCTCTGGCCGCGAGTCGGCGTTGTACATCATGTGGCAGCTTAACTTTGCGCTTACTTACAACTTACGGGTACTGGTTGGTGGGCTGGATGTCGCGGCATCCCGGCGATGTCGCGAGATATACGAGTGCCGCGAGGGCACTTGAGAGCACGGGACAGTGCATCAGTTCGGGAATCATTTCAACCAGCGCGCCTGTGAGTTGCCTCCCCTATCTGCGCCCCCTCCCAAAGTTTCTGGTGGCTTGCCGACTTTTATCGTAGTTAACGGCGGCTTTGGGAGTCAACTTTGGTCTGTAGGGTACTGCAGTGATACCAACATATATTGTGGTGAGACAAGTTAGTCTCCTTCACATCGACGCTCACCCCGAGGAGGGTCCTCCCGCTATGGACCAAGACGGGAAGACCCATGACACCAAAAACGGCCAGTAACAACCAGCATCGGCATCGACCGCTGTTGCAGGTAGTCACCGAGGAATAGTTTGTTTTGGCTGAAAGTTTTCTCCTTGATTAACAGTATCTACGTCACCACACACAAAGTATAGACTTTCTGAAGCAGAGTGTGACGAGAAGTAACTCCTCTAACCCTACCGGCGTCTCTACGTTTAAGGGGACAGGGAGATGCAGCCAGTGGAGCTGTCCTCCTCGAAGATGCCGCCGTAGATCACACCCTCGTTGATGTTGGCAGGCTGCTCGCCGCTCTTGCTGATATCGGCACCGCCGTTGACGGGCTTCTTGAGCACGCCGAAGTGGAACTGGCCCTTGCCGGCGATGTTGTTGGCGACGGGGGCGCCCTGTGACTTGAGCGCGGAATTGCCCTGAGAGTAGAAGACCTGGGTGGTGCTGGGTGGGATCAAAAGTTAGCAAACATGACAAGCATATAGGGATTCCCCCCCTCTCTCAAGGAACACACGTACTTGGCGGTGAAGTCAAGCTTGACGGCGAAGTTGTGGAAGACGCCCGGGGTGAACTTGGTCTGGAAGAGCTCGGGGACGGGGTTGGAGTTGACGTTGCCGAAGAGCTGGAGGGTGTCGGGGTCCGCGGTGTTCTGGCCGAGGATGGAGCCGGTCTTGAGGACGACCTGGTTGGTGCTGAAGTCGGCGCTCTCGAGGAAGACGAGCTGGTACTCGTGGGACAGGTTCAGGGAGCGCTGGGCGTCCTTCATGAGGCTGAAGTGCAGCGTCTTGACGCCGTCGGTCGAGGGATCCGTGCCGTCGTTGCTGGCGGGCAGCATCTCGGCGCGGCGGAAGCCGATCTGGACGTTGTTCGCAGAGGGGGCGAAGATGGACTTGTCGTTGATGGTTACCTCGAAGGGCTGAGTAGCGTTCGCATCGAACTAGGCACAGCCGGTGTTAGTATTGGCCTTAAACACCCTCCCCCCCACGCGGAGGCCCGTTTTCTCTCGTTGGAGAACCATGAGTCCCCCCGAATCGCTTTCACATACCAGGGATTGACCCCCGGGGAGCTGGATGAGCTGGCTGAACTTTAGACCCTGGCCGAAGACGTTGGAGGGGTTGAAGGGGCTGGTCTTGGCGTCGAAGTCGGCGACGGTGGAGGCCTTCGGGATGCGGCCGTCGAACTGAAGGGTGCACTGCTGAGCCTTGGCACCGGCCGCGGCGAGGAGGGAGAAGATGAGAGTAGAGGTATACATTGTTCCTAGACCGGCTACGAGCAGGGTTTGTACGCTGAGAAGAAGAAGAAAAAGAATGTGGTTGTTCCAATGGTGTCTTGATGAGACGAACAGAAATGAACGTGGAAAAGAACGGAAAAAATGATCTACAGAAGAAGTCTTGTCGTACAAGTGGGAGGGAGACAAGACAAGAAACAGATGAAGGGCAGCTCATGACATTTTGTATCTGCCAGCCCAACTCCGCAATCTTACTAGGTATTTGGAACTGTTCCAGACCTGTCCTCTTCCCAAGGGTCGGGTCCCCGCCTCATCATCCGGGGTGGCCTCCGTAACCTCTCCGCTGCCCCCTTACTCTGGAGTAACCTTTTTGCTTGTGTCTGAGATTGAACAGAGGAGCACCCTGGAGCACCGTGTGATCCAACCAACCCCCTTGCCATCTGTAACTCGGGTCGCCTCATCCGGGCTACTGGGTTGGCTGTCTGGCTGGTGAGAGGCAGGGTTGCGCCCCGTCAGCACCTTATTACTAGTAGACTTTCCGCTGATTCATATGAAAGCGGAACCGCCCAATCATTTAAGGGTCGAAACACTGGGTCTAAGGTGGTTAATTCTGTTGTCGCCCTGTATGACAGTAATGACGCGAGTCGTGCCAGCATTGCCCGATGCACGAGAACCTATCTGAGAACTCCGGACCTGCCGGATTCAAGTGAACGCTGGCTCCCTGCGTCAAGAGGATCAGTTGCCTAAGCAGTAACTTGAGGCAACATGCAATCATGACGTTGTCTCTTTGGCTCGACTCTGATGCGTGATGGCGAAGTAACCCAGTGTTCTGTCGTCGCAGATATCCCCTTGAGCCACCTGAAGATGGCATCGAGATAGAATCCTGTGTTTCTCGGAAACGAAGAAGAAGCCCAAGAGCCTGGGGAAATGTGGAACAGAGATGGTCTCCACTCTCCAGGGAAAATCTCGACATGCCACACTGTTCCGCTCCCCCCTGGGTGCCACTCCGCGGCCGGTGTGGGCCTCAAAACCTGACTTGCCCTCCTGACACGCAGATCTCTGCCAAGCACACTACTTGACGTCCCCTTGTCTGGTGTTCGCCGGAGAATGGATCGGGGTTGATGGAACACTCGGCCGGCCGACCGCCAGTCGCCGGAGCCTTCGTTTGGGTACTTGAAGAGGGGAATCGAGTCGACTCGCAGCCCAACACGTACCGCGACACGAGCGTTGGCGGCTGATGGGGGGGGAAAGGTGTTAAATGTGGCGAAGTTACGGAGTACACGTAAATTAACCGGCGAATACACAGTTGCCCTAGAGCTAATCGTCAGGAAATGGTGTTGAAGCCCGTAATTGGCAGCGATACCCTTGAGTTGGTTGATTGCCCTGTTGTGTGTATCTGTCTGTATTAAATCGTAGGGATTGTAATGGTTGATTGATTGATTCTGTTGTGTGCTGTGTAACTATGGTGAAATTGTTAAATGTGGCGGAATTACACGTGAATTGGCTAGTAAATATACGGCTGCCCTATGGTAAATTGTTAGGGAATAGGCAGTGAATTAGCCCTACTTTTAGAGGTAACTTAACTAATAATATTACTATTAAATAGCAGGGATTATAATAGTTACTTAATTAATTCTGTTATATGTTATATAACTATTATAAATTCCTATTATTAAATATAGCAGAATTATATATAAATTAGCTAGGGAATACACAGTTGCCCTATAGTAAATTATTAGGGAATAGGCAGTAAATTAGCCCTACTTTTAGGGGTAATTCTACTAATAATATTACTAGGATTAGCTAGGGATTTCCTAACTAAGAAATAGGGGTTTTTCCTTATTTTTATAAGAATTTACTATAGTTATATAATATATAGTAAAATTAATTAAGTAACTATTATTATTATAGTAGTAATACTATATTAGTTAGATATATAACTATATTTCCTATTATAAGAATTTAAAGGTAAAAAGGAAAGGAATCTACCCTAGGGGGCTAGTAGTCCTACTAGCTATTATATAGCTATTAATTCTATTTATAAGTTACCTAATAGTTCTTATAACTAGGGGTTCTTGTTCCCTGCCCTTTAGTAGGTCCTTTAGTGCTATAGGGTTTACTAGCTACTAGGGTATAGGTGTACTAACTACTAAGGCTTAGGGCCTTAGCTACTAAGGCGTAGTGTACTAACTACTATAGCTATAGCGTACTTATTACTAAGGCGTAGTATACTAACTACTATAGCTATAGTGTACTTACTACTAGGGCGTAGTATACTAACTAGCTACTAAACTATACTATAACCTTATTCTTATTTATATATCCCCTATATAACCCCTCTAGCTATAACATGTTTATAAGTTACCTAATAGTTCTTATAACTAGGGGTTCTTATTCCTTACCCTTTAGTAGGTCCTTTAGTGCTATAAGGTTTACTAGCTACTAGGGTATAAGTATACTAACTACTAAGGCTTAAGGCCTTAGCTACTAAGGCGTAGTATACTAACTACTATAGCTATAGCACACTTACTACTAAGGCGTAGTGTACTAACTACTATAGCTATAGCGTACTTACTACTAAGGTGTAGTATACTAACTAGCTACTAAACTACACTATAACCTTATTCTTATCTATATATCCCTTATATAACCCCTCTAGCTATAATATTACCCCCCCCTTTAGGAGCTATATTATTTATAATATATATTTAGGCTTAAG